GGAAAAGCCTTTAAGTTCCGCTTCCGGGCCTCGCTCCCAGCATTCTCAGCGGGCCCTGAGAGATCCCGCCCCCGTACGCCGGCTTCGGCGTGGTGGAGGTAGCGGCGGAAGTGAACGGAGCGGTTCCCGCTGCGGGTGAGGCGCAAGGGTAGGTAGGGAAGGTGGGGTTGCACTTAGAGTCCCCGGTGCCGCCATCGTCCGGCCGTCAGCCCAGCGGCTCTGGCCGACGGACCTGATGTGGGCTTTCTAGGCCACCGGGGTATGCGTCTCTCGAGGACCTTTCTAGAGTCTGCACTGGGCGGCGGTGGGGAGAGCCTGGGCCGGCAAGAAAACTGGGATACGGTTGGGCCCCGACTCTGTAGGGTGACGTCTACGGGGACCTGGATTTTAGTACTTGGCGTCTCCCTTCAGCTACAGAAATTCGAACCGCAGTCATATGGAGTTCCAGCCATCACATCCTTAATTGACCCACGCTTCTCTGATTCGGGGAACTGCTGATGGGCTCGCTTTTCCCAGTTACTGTGTTCTCAGTAGTTGGAAACCAGTCCATTCACCACATGCTAGTCAGAAGGGTCTTGTAAAAGCGTACATCTGACGCGGACGTTTTTGTGCTTAAGACCTTGAGTGGTTTCCAGCGAGTGAGAACAATATCCAAACACGTTTCCGAAGCCGGCGTGGTCCAGTGTGATTTACAGTAGCCCACTCTTAATCTATCATTCTCAATACTTTGGCTGGAAGTGCTTCAGTCATTCAGGCTTTTGTCAGTCTTGCTTATATACACAGGTCTTTTTTCCCTTAGGACTTTTTCTTGGAAAAGTAGGGGTAAGGTTTCCAGAAACATAAGCACTACTTTTCTCTCTTACCTTGTGGTATCTTAATTGCCACCTTCCTCAGAGAGTCTAACAATTAACCTTGTTAATTCTCTTTCATAGCGCCCTGCCTGTTTCCTTTCTTGCACTCACATAGTTTGTGATTGTATATTTAGTCTCTCCCTTATTAGAATCTAATCCCTTGGAGGATAAAGATCTCCTTTATTTTACTTATGGGAGTTCTCCAGTCCCTAACGCAGTGTCTGATATTGTATAAATTTTACTAAAACTTGAATGAATGAAGCAGCTATCTGCTCTGAAATCTGATTGGTAATCCATTTAGGGCTTGGCATGGTGGTTTCCATTCCAGCCTTATAAACCATCATGTGAGTTCACAGGTCTTTTGAATGAGGAGGGGGTCAAAATAGCTCCTGAGTCTGGAGTGTGAGGTCCTTTTGGGAGAGGACAAGTCATAATAATAAAAGGGATTTATCCATAGGAGATGTGTAGTACTCAAAGAGGTTACAGGACATGGTTCCCATCTGCAAGCTTTATTTAAACTTATATGAAACTAGTAACTTCTCTAAGTTATGAAAAAACTATAGTCCTATTTATAGCCTAAGCAACAGCACAGACAAAAAGGAAATTCCATAGATTAGAGTTCTGTATTACACTCTTAACCTTTAAATAACTTCAGAATTGATCTCACATGGCCCACAGGATAAGGGTTTTAGGACTCTGCACAGTATGTACCTCACTGATATGTTTGACCTCTTGTTCAGTTTCACTTCAGTTAAACTGGTTTATTAACTGTACATGACTAAGTCTTTCTGATCTGGTGAAGTGCCCTCTCCCTCCCATGCCCATCTAAATCCTAGCCATCTTTTAAGCCTTCCCTGAACATTCAGCCAGATATGGTTATTTCTTTCTACTGTGGCATTTTTTGGACACACTTCTTTAAAGCACATTACAGATTCTGATAGTTGGAGATACTCTTTAAAAAAATTAACATAGGAGAGGTTCACAGCTGATTGTGGCAAAACTTTTTAACCTGTGGGTTGCAACTCAGTTAAATTGTGAAATCGGGCACCTAGGTGGCTCATTTGGTTAGGCTCAGGTCATGATCTCACGGTTCGTGCATTCAAGCCCTGCATCAGGCTGTGTGCTGACAGTGCAGAGCTTGCTTTAGATCCTCTGTCTCCCTCTCTCTCTGCCTCTCAAAAATAAATAAACATTGAAAAATGCTTCTCAAAGTAAAAAGTAAAATAAACATTGAAAAAGTTGTGAAATCAGTTTAGTGGATCATGATCAATTTAAAAAGAAAAATCAGGGCGCCTGGGTGGCTCAGTAGGTTGAGCACCTGACTGTTGATTTCAGCTCAGGTCATGAGTTTGAGCCCTGCATCGGGCTCTGCACTGACAGTGCAGAGCCTGCTTTGGATCCTCTGTCTCTGCCCCTTCCCCACACATGTGTTCTCTGTCTCTCTCAAATAAGTAAACTTAAAAAAAAAAAAAATACAGTAGAATGTATCAAAGGGCTTTGCCCATAGGAAGGCTAAACACTAGTGAAAGTTTGTATGTACTCATGTGTGTTGTGTCTTTATGTAAAGTATATTTCTTTCTGGTGTTGCCAGAGAAAGTTTAAGAACCACTAGAGGATGAGTAATACTGAGATTTTAGAAGTAGAGTTTCACTGAAGGACAAATTGACTACTTTGAACCAGACCACTGACTGCCTGAGTCTTTTTTTTTTTAATTTTTTTTTTCCCAACGTTTTTATTTATTTTTGGGACAGAGAGAGACAGAGCATGAACGGGGGAGGGCAGAGAGAGAGGAGACACAGAATGGGAAACAGGCTCAGGCTCTGAGCCATCAGCCCAGGAAACCCAGCGAGCTTCGAACTCACGGACGGGTCGTGACCTGGCTGAAGGCTGTAACCGACTCACATACCCAAGCCCTGCTGAGAATCTTTTAAGAAAAGATTTTTCCCTATCTTTTATGAGAATTAAGTGTTTAGTCTAAATAACTTTGAGAGAAAGGCAATAACTCTGGTCAGTAAAATGCCTCAGGGATGTTTAGGGACCTATGGAGTGAAGCATTTTCTAAAAGGTTTCCTGAAAGATAGATCGGTGTTTAACAAGAAATGAAGAATTATGCAGAGGCTGCTTGAGAGTTTTCTGAAGGTAGAGTGGGAAGGGTGCTTTGGTAGAGCCCATACCTGCCCCCAGGTGTCTTCAGACTTTGAGCTGTGGTGTTTCTCTGTCAGAAATAGATCTCTGCAGAAATAGGGCGCCTACAAGATGAATCTGGAGAATTTGAAGGATTTTTTTAAGATGAAATTTTTTAAATTTTATTTATTTAATCTGCACCCAATGTGGACCTTGAGCTCACAACCCCAAGATCAAGAGTTGCACACTCTTCCAACTGAGCCAGCCAAACATCTCTCGATGAAGAATTTTTAAAAATTACTTTTAAAATCAAATATTGAGTAGGTAACAAGTAATCATTATTAAAAATTGTAAGTCATAAAGAAGGACAGTATCATGAACATCTTTCTTCCCACCACCCAGTTTTACTTATTTTTTAATGTTTATTTTTGAGAGAGAGGGAGGGAAGGAGCCTTTGCAAGTTGGGGAGGGACATAGGGGAACAGAGGATTCAAAGTGGGCTCTCTGCTTTCAGCACAGAATGCAGAGGCTTGAACTTACCTGACCCAAAGTGGGATGCTTAACCGACTGAGCCACCCAGGTGGCACTTCCCCATCCTGTTTAAGAAGAAACAGTACTATTACTTTGAAGCCCCCTGTATGGCCCTCCTTGATCCCAGCCTTTTCCCTTTCCTCTTAGGGGTAACCACTATCCTTATTCCCTGCTATGCTTTTTAGTGTGATCCCTGAAGAATATATTGTTCTTGGGGCGCCTGGGTGGCTCAGTCGGTTGAGCCTCCAACTTCGGCTCAGATCATGATCTCAGGGTCTTTGAGTTCGAGCCCTACATCGGGCTCTGTTCTCACAGCCTGCTTCAGATTGTGTCTCCCTCTCTTTCTGACCCTCCCTCATTCATGCTCTGTCTCAAAAATAAAAAAAAAAATATTAAAAAAATTAAAAAATATATTCTTGTTTGGCATCATTATAAATGTTATAAAAATGTTATCATTACGTATTCTGTGATTTGCTTATTTATTTATTTTTGGCTCAACATGATATTTTTGGATTGTCCACACTTACAGCTGTGATATATTTGTTTAGATGAAAGTTTTCCTAGTTTGTTTGAATTGCTCTTTGTATTTTTCCTTAAACTAAGTGTTTAAAAACTTTATTTATTTTTGAGAGAGAGAGCGAGAGAGAGAGAGAGCAAGCAAGCAGGGGAGGGGCAGAGAGAGAGAGAGAAAGAAAAACCCAAGTAGGCTCTGAGCTGTCAGCACAGCCTGATGTGGGGCTTGAACTCACAAACCGTGAGATCATGACCTGAGTCAAAACCAAGAGTCAGATGCCTAACTGACTGAGCCACCCAGGCACTAGTGTTTAAACTGTTTAATATCCTGAGGCAGTATTGGTGGCACTCTTTTCCCACTACCCCAGCCTCTTTGTTTCTTCTTTCTGGTTAACCACCTGTTTCCTTTGCTTTATTTCTCTTCTCATCTGCCTTTACCTTGAGGCTGTGTCGAGTTGCACCTGTGAGGCTCATTTAACCTGAAATCATTGGGGACTGCCAAAGTTTCCAGATAGCTTTATGAATTTATGTTAATTACAGTTTTTTGATGTTACATGCTGAATGTAAAACCAAATAACTTGTGGGAAAGATTAAAATACTAATTTTTTTTTTAAGTTTATTTATTTCGAGAGAGAAGGAGAGAAAGAGAATTCCAAGCAGGCTCCATGCTGTCAGTGCAGAACCCAGCTTAGGCCTTGGACCCATCCACAAACTGGGAGAACGTGACCTGTGCTGAAGTCGAACACTTAACCAACCGAGCCACCCAGGTGCCCCTAAAATACCGATTAACAAATAATTTCATTGGCTTTGATGCTTTTGTTCATTTTATGATTTTTTTCCTTTTTTTTTGTCTTTAAAATTATTTCCTTCTACATTTTGGGCATTATGATGTGAATAGATTTCTGATGATTAGACCGGTCCACAAGAAGTGAGCTGGCAAGGCTGCTTTTCTGTGGTGAAACTGAGAAGCTGATTGGCGCCATGAAGGTCTTCTGCGGGCGGGCCAATCCAACCACTGGCTCTGTGGAGTGGCTGGAAGAGGACGAGCACTATGATTACCACCAGGAGATTGCAAGGTAACAAGGGCGTGTTCACTATTGGTTGCAGCTGGGTGGGGACACTGGCTCTCAAAGTAGGAGCCCTAGAATCCTGTCCGAATGTGGAATAAGCTTTACCCAGTGCTTCTGATCAGGGCAGATGTTGGTCATGAGCAGGTCTGCTCAGCCAGGTAGGTTTGTGTGGGAATTAGGCAAAGTCATTTCTGTGTAGAGAGTCAGATATCATGTAACAGCTTTATCAGGGTCTCAGAGGATCTGTCTAGTGGAGCAGAGAGGACCCACCTCAGTAGTACTAGTGATAATTGAAGAGTTTATGAAATTCATTCATTGTGTCACTGAAATGGAGACACATTTATCATATAGCTAAATTCTTTTGAATGGAAAATGTGAAAAATGCATTCTTCCCTGACTTGGGAAGGGATATTTAAAACTGTTGAGTGCGTTACTATTCTTTAGCAGTCATTAAGTGCGTACAACATACTAGCCCTGTGGTGGAGCTAATGAAGAAGATGGGGTTCCCATCCTCAAGGACCATGCAGTTTTTTGTAAGAGACAGACATGTAACGAATCATGACACAGTGAAGAAAGGCCACTAGACATGGGTGCAAAAGTTCATGGAAGCAGTAAGAACCAGCTGGGCTGGGGGGGGGGGGCGGGGGCGGTGATATGTGAGTGATTTCCCAAATCCAAAAGGAGGGAAATTGCTTTCTGAGCAGCAGGGATCACGTGTAACAGTTTGGGGGATTGCTAGCAGTTTGAGGTAGCTGGAATGTGGTACAAAAGCAGGGCTCTGGTGAGGGTACCGAAAAGGTAGGCAGGATCATATTGTAAAGGGTGGTAGCAAAATGCAGGAAGAGGAGCATGAGGGTTAGTCTGGGCTCTGTCGTGTCTTAACTCTGACATTGGCTAAGCTCCTTAACTTCCTTGAGCCTCAGTATGATAATATAAGTTTCCATACATGTAATAATGTACATTTCCTCACATATAAAGTGAGGGGTGACAAATACAATGTGTGGTATAGAATAAGGGCTCAAAGATACTACCTTCTTTCAAACGATTTTGAACATCATTTTGTAAGTGATTGAGATGTTAAACTGGGGAGAAAAAAGATTAAGCTGCATTTTGGGACATTTACTGAGAACGGTGTGGAAAGTGGGTTGGAGGGAGTGGAAGCCATTTGGGTGGATATTGCAACCCTACAGGTGAGGCAGTGGAGGTGGGGAGACAGCTTTGAAGGAGCTTGAGTTTTAATAACTCATTGGTTCAGTGGTGGAAGGAGAGAGAAATTCCAGAAGCACCCAAGATTTCTGATTAGAGTGACTAAGTGGATGGAGCTGTGTTCTGTGAGAGGGATGACCACAGGAGGAATGGGTGTTGCTGGAGAGAAGGTGATGGAGATTAGGTATCTGGGTTTCGTCATCCAGGTAGAGATGCAGTGGGCCGATAAACATGGGTCTGGAGCCAGTTTGCAGTTATTAGAATTCAAGATGGAAAAGATGGCAGGCTCTGAGGGAGGGTGTGTGATGAGAAAGGTAGAGGGCTGAAGAAAGAATCTTGGAATAGAGGAGGCAGGAGAACCAGGAGGGAATGGCCAGCAAGTGGAAAAGAAGAAAGTGTTTCAGGAAGAGGGAGTGTCCAACAGAGACAGAAATCCTGGATGTTAGTGATGGAGTGGGTTGATAGTGCTTAGGCAGAATGATGTCTGTGGAGCGGTAGGGAGAGCGGATGATGAGGCTATGAAGATGGAGACCAGAAATGCCTCTTGGAAGGTAGTGAAAGACAGAACCAGATTTCAACTAAGCATTCCTAGGTGGGTTCACATGTAAAAGCCATGATGTGCCATTAAAACGAAAAGAATGCTATTCTTCTGGTACAGTGCTCCTCGGCGTGTAGAATATGAGCTGCCTGTGTCACAGTTGTGTGGGGTACCAGTTCAAGTGCGTATTTCCAGACTCCAGCCCAATTTTCTGGATCAGGATCTGTTTGCATGTATCGTGAGAATCTGCATTAAAAAATTTTTTTTCAGTATTTATTAAAAAATTTTTTTATAATGTTTAATTTTGAGAGAGAGAGAGAGAGAGGAAGAGAAAGCACGACTGGGGGAGGAGCAGAGAGACAGGAAGACAGAGAATCTGAAGCAGGCTCCAGGTTCTGAACTGTCAACACAGAGCCGGATGTGGGGCTCAAACCCACAGACTGCAAGATGATGACCTGAGCTGAAGTCAGCTGCTTAACTGACTGAGCCACCTAGGCGCCCCTAATTTTTATTGGTTTTTGAGAGAGTGCAAACAAGGGAGGGGCAGAGAGAGAGGGAGACAGAGGATCTGCAGTGGGCTCTGCACTTAGAGCAGCTAGCCCGACTCAGGGCTTGAATTCACAGACAGTGAGATCATGACCTGAGCCAAAGTCAGACTCAGTTCAACTGACTGAGCCATCCAGGTGCCTTGGCAATGTGCACTTAAAATAAGCTCTCCAAGGATCCCTGGCTAGCTCAATCAGTAGAACATGCAACTCTTGATTTCAGGGTCGTGAGTTTAAGCCTCATGTTGGGCATGGAGTCTATTTAAAACAAACAAAAACAAAAAACAGGTCTCCAGTGATTCTGTTGTTGATCTGAAGCTGGAGGTCCTCTGTTTAGTGAAAGCACTTTAGCTCTCACCTGCATCTCTCAGAAAGCATCTTTGGGCTGGTTCTGCTGAGTTCTGGGAGCTTATCCTGACCCTGCCAGAGATTTTTCAAGTTTGTGAATTCATGGAAAGTGCAGGGCATGATACCCCTCACTTATACAGCAGGTACATACTTTCCCTGATTCGTCTCTGCAGTGTTAAATCTGTGATTATCGTAATATGCAAATGTATGCAAGATTATGTAAAGTATTAGACAAATTGAGTCTGAGTTCTGGAGAGAAAAAAAAATGTGTGACATATAACATGATCAGCATGCCGGTGGCTGTGACAGGGCTAACTCCCAGACCATTTTTAGCTGTGAGGTTCTTTGCTGAAAGTAAACATCTTTAAGATTTTTTTTTTTTCCTGCAATACTAGAGAATTTTAGCTTATAACTCTACTAAAATAGTTTAAAATGGGCCTGGGTTAGAGATGAAAAGTACAGCAGAGGGAACATTGTTATAATGTTGTATGGTGACTCCACTTAACATATTGAACATTGAGTATAGAATTGTGAATCAATATGTTGTACACCTGAAACTAACGTAACATTGCATGTCAATTATAGTTCAGTAATAAATAAAAAATAAAATGGGCCTGGATGTTTTTCCATTTGACTTAGGAATGCATTTATATATGTGAATGCTCTCATATGTTAATGGATATCATTAATAGAGGTTTCTGACCTTTTGTTTCTTTTTAGATCCTCCTATGCTGATATGTTACATGACAAAGACAGAGTAAGTGTAAAAGGAAACCATTATCTTGCTGTGGTGTTGAAACCTTTAGTTAGTTACAAGATCAAAAATTTCCTCCAGAGACATGATGTTAGAATAATGTACAGAGGCAGTATGGTGTAACGAGTGGTCAGGAAATCAGTTGGGAGGCCTTGTCCTACTTCCAGCTCTGCTGTTCACTTGAGTGTGGCCTTGGAGAAAACATGGGACCTCTGCAGATCTTGTTTATTAGGATTTAAAAGGAGTGGGATATACTAGCTGATCTCCATAATCTCCTCTAGATACAGATTCTCTAATTACACAGTTTTACCTCGTGTAGTCCGTTTGTAATTTTATTTTATTTTTAAAAAAAAAATTTTTTTTTTTTCAACGTTTATTTATTTTTGGGACAGAGAGAGACAGAGCATGAACGGGGGAGGGGCAGAGAGAGAGGGAGACACAGAATTGGAAACAGGCTCCAGGCTCTGAGCCATCAGCCCAGAGCCTGATGCGGGGCTCGAACTCACGGACCGCGAGATCGTGACCTGGCTGAAGTCGGACGCTTAACCGACTGCGCCACCCAGGCGCCCCTCCGTTTGTAATTTTAAAATCATATCTCTAGAGGCCACTGCAGACTGTTTTGTAAAAGCAAATTTGACTTCTGTTGCACTGTGACATTTCATTCAGCTTTTTGTTTGTTTGTTTCTTTTTGTTTCATCTGAGTTTTCTTTTCCTGTTTGAATTATGTTACAGTTCTGGTGTTACAATGGTTAGCAATGCAAGCTTTCCTGGTCTACCAGAGTGCTTGACTGGTCATTCTCATCTGGATGGCTCAGAAATGCAGAGGCTTGAAGGCAAAGGATTCAGGGCCAAGCTTAAGAGCTAAGCAGTGTAGGGTAAGAGAAAGATCAGGGCACATGGTCAGGTTGGTCATGAGGCTTTGTTGTTGGTGTCTACTTCATCCAGCCCTGGTTAACTGCTCAGTATGCATACTTCTTGGCAACATCATGACATAACAGTCTCCTTGAGCATCATTAGTGTGTAGAATACACCAAAAGGGGCTAGGTGCTTCCCTGATTTTTATCAAATAGCTGAGTGCCTTTGCTGAGCTATTGGGGAATTATAGGATGTGGACGGACATTGCTTCTGGATCTGACTAATTCTCTCTAGCTTAGTGGTCTTGGCTTCTTACTGGTTTCTTGAGCTTGTGAGCCTCTCTGATTTTAGTACCATCTGCAAAGATGATCCTTTTTGGCTCAAATTCCAGGGGATTTGAACAAATGGCATTGCCATTCATTCAGTCGGCCAGGCAGAAAAATGGCACCCTTTTCCTCACCTGAGCACACAGTCTGTCATCAAATTGTGTGAATCTTTCAACCCTACTGCCTGCTCAGACCTCATTTACTAGTGTTGACCTCTCTTCCTTTCTTTACATAGCAGCCCAAGGGGTCTTTCTGAAATGCCAATCTATGTTACTCTTCTGCTTAAAACCCTCACAACCCTGTTTAGCACCATCCTCGGTGTCCTCTCGCTGTTGTCAAGTTAAAATCCAAACTCGTTTGAGGAATGTTCCTACCTCTTCATTAATTAACCTCCCCCTTTTAAAAAATATTTATTTTTGAGAGAGACAGAGTGAGCTGGGGAGGCACAGAGAGAGAGGGTAACACAGAATCCGAAGCAAGCTCCAGGCTCTGAGCTGTCAGCACAGAGCCTGACACGGGGCTCAAACCCATGAACTGTGAGACTGTGACCTGAGCCGAAGTCAGGTGCTTCACCAACTGAGCCAGCCAGGCATCCCCCTTTTCTTCTCTTTTTATATTGAGTCCCATGTTTCCTGGTTCCCCTGTGTTCCTCTGTGGTTCACCCTCTCTTTTTGGTTAAGCATATTCTTCCTTAGTGTCCTATGAGAGGGTGCATGGGAGGTGAGAGTTTAAAAACTTTGCTAATCTGAAAACTTCTTTATTCTGTCCTTACAGTTAAGACTTAGGCTGAATTGGATTCTGATTGGGAAATCACTTTTTGTCAGAATTTTGACATTATCCATTTTCTTTTATTTATTATTATTTTAATGTTTATTTTTGAGAGAGCGAGTGTGAGCATGGGAGGCGGAGGGGACAGAGGATCTGAAGTGGGCTCTGTGCCGACACCAGAGAGCCTTATGTGGGGCTCAAACTCAAAAACTGCGAGATCATGACCTGAGCTGAAGTCGGACGCTTAACCAACTGAGTCACCCAGGTGTCCCTAAATATTTTAAGTAATTTGTATACCCAACCTGGGGCTTGAACCCACAACCCCAAGATCAAGAGTCACATGTTCCACCAACTGAGCCAGCCAGGCACCCCCTATTCATTATTTATTTATTTAAATCTTTATTTATTTTTGAGAGATAGACAGCGTGAGCAGGGGAGGAACAGAGAGAGAAGGAGACACAGAATCCAAAGCAGGCTCTAGGCTCTGAGCTGTCAGCACAGAGCCCGACGCAGGGCTCGAGCCCATGAACTGCGAGATAGTGACCTGAGCTGAAGTCAGACGCTCAACCGACTGAGCCACCCAGGCGCCCCACTATTCATTTTCTTTTAGAATTCAGTGCTGCTATTTTAAGATTTATTACCATTCTTACTCTATAAAAAACTTTTTTATTGTGACAGACATAGAGAAGAATATAAAATGTGTATGTATAGTTTAAAAAAGAATAGTAAATGTTCATAGACTTACCACTCAGCTTGGAAATAGAACATTACAGTTACTTACAATTCCCCTGTGTACTCCTAGATTGCATTCCTTTTTCTCCCCCTAGAAGTTTCCACTGTCTTGAATTTTATATCAGTCACTCCCTTACTTTTCTTTATAGTTTTACCATCTGTTGTATTAAAAAAGTAAATTCCTAGTTTTGCCTGTTTGTGAACTTTATATAATGGAGTCATACTGTTTAATCTTTATGACTTTCTTCTTTGCTCACCATTATTTTTGAGATTCATCCATTTTTCATGAGGCTGTAGTTCATGCATTTTCATGATGTATAGATTCCATTGTATAAATATATCCTCGCTTACCTGTTATTCTGTTGGTAGACCTTGGGGTTATTTCTAACTTGTTGCCGTTGTACGTAGTGCTCCTAGAATATTCTAGGACCTGTACTCTGGGACACTTTTCTCTAGGTTGGTATATCTAAGAATGGAGTTGCTGCCCATTGAGTTTGTTCAACTTTATGAGGTAATGTCAGATTGTCTCCCAAAGGATCATGCCATTTTACATTCTCATACTTGTGTATGATAGTTCTTCTTGTTTCATGTCCCTGCCATTATTTGGTATTAACCAATTTACATTCTTGACAGTCTGATAGGTATGATTCAGCCTGTCATTGTCAGTTTTAATTTGCATTCCTCTGGTTACTACTGAGTATGAACTCTTTTTGTTCATTGGCTTTTCGTGTTTCCTCTTTTTTTTTTCTCTTTTTTTTGAGAGAGAGCATAAGCACGGGAGGGGCAGAGCGTTAGGGAGACACAGAATCCACAGCAGGCTCTAGGCTCTGAGCTGTTAGCACTGAGCGGACATGGGGCTTGAACGCACGAACTGTGAGATCATGACCTGACTTGAAGTCGGATGCTTAACTGAGCCACCCAGGTGCCCTTCATGTTTCTTCTTTTAATACTTAGTTATTTATAAGAGTTCTTTATGTATTTTGGGTACTGACCATTTGTCAGTTACATGTATTGTAGGTGTCTTACTTTATGGGTTGTTTTTTTATCTGATAAATGCAAGTTCTTAAATTTAATGTCAGGATTTATTAATCTTTGTTGGCTGGTACTTTTTGTCTCTTGTTTAAGAAATCCTTCCCTTTGCCAAGGTTTTTTTTTTTAAGTTTATTTATTTATTTTGAGAGAGAGAAAGCACGGGCAAGGAGGGGCAGAGAGGAGAGACAGAACCTCAAAGCAGGCTCTGCGCCATCAGTGCACAACCTGATGTGGGGCTCGAACTGTTGAACTGTGAGATCATGACCTGAGCTAAGGTCAAGAGTCCCACACTTGATCCAGGTGCTGCCCCTTTGCCAAGGTTTTTTCTTAATTTTTTCTTAAATTTTTTTTTTTAACATTTATTTATTTTTGAGAGACAGAGTGAGACAGAGCATGAGTGGGGGAGGGGCAGAGAGCGAGGGGGACAGAGGATCTGAAGCAGGCTCCAGGCTCTGAGCTGTCAGCACAGAGCCTGATGCAGGGCTCAAAATCACGAACCACGAAATCATGACCTGAGCCAAAGTCAGGTGCTTAACCGACTGAGCCATCCAGGTGCCCCGTTAATTTTTTTTAACATTTATTTATTTTTGAGAGAGAGAGAGCGAGAGAGAGAGAGCGCATGCAAGAGGGGAAGAGGCAGAGAGAGGGGAGACACAGAATCCAAAGCAGGCTCCAGGCTCTGAGCTGTCAGCACAGAGCCCGATGAGGCGCCCAAACTCACAAGCTGTGAGATCGTGACCTGATCCGAAGTTGGATACTCAACCAACTGAGCCACCCAGGTGCCCCTCCTCTGCCAAGGTTTTAAAGGCTGCTGCTGATATATAAAATTTCAGTTGATTTTTATTTATTGATTTGAAGTTCTGTAATCTTAAGTTTTTTTTAATGTTTGTTTATTTTGAGAGAGAGGGAGAGAGCACGTGCATGCACTAGGGGGAGTGGCAGAGAGAGAATCCCAAGCAGGCTCTGAGCTGATAGTGCAGAGCTCAATATGGCCACGATCTCACGAAATGTGAGATCATGAGCTGAAATCAAGAGATGCCTAACTGAGCCACCCAGGTGTACCTCAAAATGTATTTGCTAAAAGTTGTTTATAATCTTTAATCTTTCTAATATTGGCAGCATATATAGTGGTAGCGTGCTCTTTCCCCCACCCCTTATTCCCAGTTTTTGCTTACTTTTTTCCCTTTTGTTTTTTGACTTACCAGAGGCTCATCAATTAGATTTTTGAAATAACTTTTATAAAAAATTTCTATAAAATCTCCATATTTGTTCCCTGGTTCATTAATTTTTGTGTTTTATTATTTTTATTCATCTGCTGATTTAGAGATTATATTGCAGTCCTCTTTCTAATTTTTTGAGACAGATGCTTACCTTATCTCTGGTCTTTTGTAATGTATTTCTTTCCAAATATTGCTTTTTGCTATCCCCTGAGTTTTGATAATGTAATTTTAAAAAGTTCAGTTCTAGATATTTTCTAATTCTCTTTTGATTTAGTTCTTTACCTGTGAGTTTAGAATTTTTCAAGTTCAAAAATCTCTTTTTCTTTAGTTATATTTTTGTTATTGAGATCTCTGACTTGATTGCACTCAGGTCTGAGAATGTTGCCCTTTTGATACCAGTCCTGTATTATGTTCTGTTGTATAACAAATTATCCCAGAATTTAATGGCTGAAAAGAGTTATTATTGTCTCATCATTTCTGTGGGTTCGGAATCTGAGCTCAAGCTTAGCTGTGTGCCCTGACTCTGGGTCCCTTGCAGGCTGTGATCAAGGTGTCACCCTGTCAGGCAGTCACCTTAAGGCTCAGTTGAGGGGAATCTACTTCCAGGAGTTTGGCCTCTTTCTTTTTTTTTTAAGTTTTTTTATGTTTGTTTATTTATTTTTGAGACAGTAACAGAGCATGAGTGGGGGAGGGGCAAAGAGAGAGGGAAACACAGAATCTGAAGCAGGCTCCAGGCTCTGAGCTGTCAGCACAGAGCCTGACGTGGGGCTCGAACCCACCAACCGTGAGATAATGACCTGAACTGAAGTTGGACGCTTAACCAACTGAGCCACCCAGGTGCCCCCAGGAGTTTGGCGTCTTAATGTTTCTTTCTAACTTGCCAGCTCATTAGTGCATTTTAAAAGATTTGCATGTGTTTTCCCTATCATTATTGTTTTCATCAGAAGGGTCAGGGTACCTATGGAGCCAAACTGTTACAGATTGGAAATGTATCTGTGTCAGCTGCTAAAGACCTGAATTAAAAACAAAGAAATGATTTCCTGAGGAGGGGATTATTTTTTGAGACAAGGAACCCCTGTGAATTAGAGTCCAGTAAGGAAATCCAAAGCCATGTTACTATTTCAACAGAGGGAATTTCACAGGGGGAATTGGTAACACAGATGTGGGAGGCCTGGAAGCAAATGGGAGCACCAAGGTTACCTAGTGGTAGTAATTGCAGGAGGCAGCTAACTTGCCTAGGGCTGATGATACAGAAGAGTGAGCGTCGTGAGTCTGGAAGCATGGAGGAGAGGTCCTGTGGAACTGGTGCTCAGCTCTCCGAGAAGGACAGCTGCATGAGTGCTGCACCTGTCTCTGAGGTGCCCAAGGAGGCTGGTGATGAGAGTATAGAGAGGAGCTGGGGAGGAGCTGGCATCTGGAGCTGGCTGCCACTTCTGGGAGGACCCTGATGAGAGCAGCAACCATTTGGGAAGGAACAAGTTTTCTGCCTCTTCTACCTGCCGGTCGCCCTGTAGTTCCCCTATTGTCCATACCTAATAGCTGGAAAAGGAGAAGGTTGTTGGCAGAGCCCCAGCCCCTCTAAGCAGAGTACAAAAGAGTGGGTGTGGAGGGAGGGACAATCATCAAATAAAAGGCAAGAGGCTGACCCAGTGCTCTGGGAGTCTCTCAAGGCCTGCTTTACTCAACTAGCCAATGCCGTTCCTTGACAGGCCAGAAAGCCATGGAACCATGACTTACACTGCTGCTGCCATCCATGACTCCCAAACTTCACAAAGAATCCTTGCATTTGTTTATAGTAACTGGTATGAAGTGATAGCTGTTTCTCCTTTTCTCTTAGAATATAAAATATTATCAGGGTATCCGGGCTGCTGTGAGCAGGGTGAAGGACAGAGGACAGAAGGCTTTGGTTCTTGACATTGGCACTGGCACGGGACTCTTGTCAATGATGGCGGTCACAGCAGGGGCTGACTTCTGCTATGCCATTGAGGTGAGCCACACTGTTCAGATATGTGTCCTGTGTGTTGTGTGGGAAGTCTGTCATGTACCTTGCCTATCCGTTTGTTTACAAATGTTCATGGAGTGCTCACTCTGTTTCAGGCATAGAGCCAGGTTCTAAGGATATGGAGATGAATCAGACACCTTTCCTTACCCCAGGGTCTCCTTTTCTCCTCTGAAAACAGCAGTCCTCAGTCTTGGCCTCATGTCAGAATCACTTAAGTACTTAAATAGCTTCAGAAAATACTGATGCGGTAACTGCCTCCCCTGCCTCACCACCCCGCTATCCTGACTCTAGTTTTAATTTAATTATTCTGAGATGTGGCCTGGGCATTGGGAGTTTTAACTGTGCACCAAGGTTGAGACCTGCTAGTTTAAATTTTTTTTTTATTAAAAAAAATATTTTTTAATGTTTTTATTTTTGATGGAGAGAGAGAGAGCATGAGTGGGGGAGGAGCAAAGAGAGAGGGAGACACAGAATCCGAAGCAGGCTCCAGGTTTTGAGCTGTCGGCACAGAGCCGGACACGTGGCTCGAACTCACAAACCATGAGATCATGACCTGAGCTGAAGCCGGATGCCCAACTGACTGAGCCACCCAGGCGCCCCTAATTTTTTTTTTTTTTTTTTTTAAACATTTATTCATTTTTGAGAGTGAGAGAGGCAGAGAATGAGCGGGAGAACGGCAGAGAGAGAGGGAGACATAGAATCCGAAGCAGGCTCCAGGCTCCGAGCTGTCAGGACAGGGTCCAACGCAGGGCTCGAACCCACGGACTGTGAGATCATGACCCGAGCTGAAGTTGGACACTTAACCGACTGAGCCACCCAGGCGCCCGAGACCTACTAGTTTAAACGTCTCCATTGAGCCTGCTATCTTACTATGTTTGTCAGTAGTTGGGCAGTCTGTCATTTCATTTCTTTATTGTAACATTAAACATACATTGTTTTGCTGATAAAGTAAATAATGCATTCTACCATAGAAAATATGGTAAATGTAAAACAAAAATAGCATGTTAACACAATGTTAACCATTGTTGAAATTTTGGCATATGTTCTTCACAGCTTTTGGGAAAAGGTAGCATGTATTTAAACACTTTTTCCTACAAGATTTGGTTTGTATGGTGATTGAGTTGTAAATAACAAAGTCTCAAAATAACAGTGGCTTAAACAAGATAGAAGATTTTTGCTTTCTCACATAAAGTCTGGAGGCAGCACTCTGGGGTATTCTACTCAGACTCCTTCTAGCTCCCCACCCCTCTTTCCCTATAGTGTGGCCCTCATGTTCATGGTCTAGAAAGGTGGGCATTTTAGGCTGAGGGAATCCCGTATTGTATTGTCCAGAGTCATGGCAAACAGGGTCAGGGTAGAAATCCAGAAAGGTAGATTGTAGCCACACTATGGAGGACCTGAGTGCTACAATAAAGACTTCTAACTTCAGTATCCTGAGTTAGTTGTTCTTAGCCTGAAATAAGAATAATGGGCTTCAGGGGCGCCTGGGTGGCTCAGTCGGTTAAGCGTCCGACTTCGGCTCAGGTCATGATCTCGCAGTCTGTGAGTTCAAGCCCCACGTCGGGCTTTGTGCTGACAGCTAGGAGCCTGGAGCCTGCTTCAGATTCTGTGTCTCCCTTTCTCTGACCCTCCCCATTCATGCTCTGTCTCTTTCTCTCTCAAAAATAAATAAACATTAAACAAAAAAAAAGAATAGGTTTCAGGGGCCCTTGGATGGCTTGGTCATTTAAGTGCCCGACTTCAGCTCAGGTCATGATCTCAGCACTCGAGCCCCATATCAGGCTCTGTGCTGACAGCTCAGAGCCTAGAACCTGCTTTGGATTCTGTCTCCCTCTCTTTCTGTCCCTCCCCCACTTGTGCTCTTTCTCTCTCTCAAATATGAATAAACATTAAAAAGAAAATCTTAAAAAAAAAAAAAAGAAAAATGGGCTTCAGGTCTCCATTAAGTCCTGAGAGAGGTAGGGGTGTGTGTGTGTGTGTGTATGTGTATGAGTGTATGACTCTGTGCACTTGTCTCAGGACTTCATAAAAAGATCAAGAGTCATTTCTTGGCCTTCTGGGGCATCATCAAGATTTTTTTTTGAGAGAAGAGAGACAAAGAGAATATGAGCAGGAGAGAGGGAGGGGGAGAGAGAGAACCCCAAGCAGGTTCCACATTCAGCATGGTGCCTGATGCAGGGTTCAGTCTTATAAACTGTGAGATCATGACCTGAGCCAAAATCAAGAGTCGGATGCTTAACCAACTGAGCCACCCAGGTGCCTCCATCATCATGATTTTTAAACAGATACAAAAAAATTTATGTTTTAGGATAGTTACCTTAGTCTCAAGTAAATTTTATTATCCTTACTTTACAAATGAAGAAACTAAGACCCAGAGAGATTAAAGACTTAATCTCACAATTAATAAATAGGAGAGCTAGACCTGGAGACTTGGTCTTTTGGTTGCTAATTAAGGTGCTAGCCCTACAGTGGTATCTTGGATGGGAGAGGATGTATGAGTGTGAGATTTCTAGCATGGTTGTCTGGGGGAACAGTGATGCTGTTGACTGGTGAGAGGAACTCAAGAAGATACTTACTTTGTAGGAAAGATAATGCATTTCATGTTGGATGTGGTAAGTATGAGAGAGGTCCCAGGGCAGGAGTCACTTTATGCGTGGACTGGGTGAGGGGGCACCTGGGTGGCTCAATCGGTTGTGCGTCTGACTCTTGATTTCAGCTTAGGTCATGATCTTACAGTTTGTGATTTGAGCCCCACTTCAGGCTCCTCACTCTTAGTGCAGAGCCTATTTGAGATTTCGCCTTCCCTCCCTCTCTCTGTGCCCCTCCCCTGCTCGCGCTCTCTCTCAAAATGAGTAAATAAACTTAAAAAAAAAAGTACAGGGGCGCCTGGGTGGCGCAGTCGGTTAAGCGTCCGACTTCAGCCAGGTCACGATCTCGCGGTCCATGAGTTCGAGCCCCGCGTCGGGCTCTGGGCGGATGGCTCAGAGCCTGGAGCCTGTTTCCGATTCTGTGTCTCCCTCTCTCTCTGCCCCTCCCCCGTTCATGCTCTGTCTCTCTCTATCCCAAAAATAAATAAACGTTGAAAAAAAAAAAAAAAAAAGTACACACATACATACATATATGTATGTTATACATATATTTACAGTAAGAACATGTTTTCTGGCAGAATTGGTAGGACTGTGCTGTTGGGTTTTTCTATATATTTCCATCTCAGTTACCTGGATTTCTAATTTCTGTCTTGGTGCTCTGGTCTGTGATTCTCAGATCTTTTCTTTTTGGCTCTTGACATCTTAGGGTGGCCTCCCAGCTTTTACTTTAGTGACCACCTTTTGAACCTCTCAACTCAGTTCTAGCTGGACTGCCCTGTGGTTTTCAACTCTGCCTGAGCTCCACAACTGGAAAGACAGGTCTAGAACAATGAGTGAGAACCTGCTAGTCTCTGGAGATGGACGTCTGAACGTTTAGAGAGTGGCATGTACAGGCGGATTTCCAAACTCATTTGCAGATGTGGCAGGTGAAGCTGGCGTTGTAGGAGATTGTTCAAGGAGAGAGTAAAATGAGAAGGGCAGAGCTGGGGACATGCCTGTGAGGGAAGAAGGGTGGCCAGTAAAGGCAAGTTCAGACAGATGCAAAGAGAGCCTAGAGGGCAGAGGTGGAAGCCAAGGTTGCAGGGCATTCATGGGAAAAAGGAAGTGGTCAGCAAGTGTGGATGTTCTAGCCCAGCATTGTCATATAGAACTTTCTGTGATGCTGAATATTCTATAGCTGTGCTGGCCAACATAGTGGTCTGTAGCCATATATGGCTGCTGAGCACTTGCAGTGTGACTAGTATGAGGAACTGAATTTTTTTTTTTTTTTTTTTTAAATTTTTTTTTTCAATGTTTATTTATTTTTGGGACAGAGAGAGACAGAGCATGAACGGGGGAGGGGCAGAGAGAGAGGGAGACACAGAATCGGAAACAGGCTCCAGGCTCTGAGCCATCAGCCCAGAGCCTGACGCGGGGCTCGAACTCACGGACCGCGAGATCGTGACCTGGCTGAAGTCGGACGCTCAACCGACTGCGCCACCCAGGCGCCCCTGAATTTTTTTTTAATGTTTTTTTTTTTTTTTTTTTTGAGAGAGACAGAGAGAGAGAGAGACAGAGTGTGAGTCGGGCAGGGGTAGAGAGAAAGAGACACAGAATCTGAAACAGGCTCCAGGCTCCAAGCTGTCAGCACAGAGCCTGACGTGGGGCTTGCGCTCACAAACTGCAAGATCATGATCTGAGCTGAAGTCGGACACTTAACCGACTGAGCCACCCAGACGCCCTGAGAACTGAATTTTTAAATTTCACTTAGTTTGAATCAACGTCTATTTAAATGCATGTGGTCACTGTATTAGCACTGATGTAGCAGTTGAGTAGGATGAGGACTGAGAGAAAGCTGTTAGGTTGGCAGCTAGGAGGTGACCTCCTTTAAATGGTATTTTCAGGGGAATAGGTTTGAGGAGTAGATGGAATACAAGGAATTACAGACAGTGACTATAAACTTCTCTTTTAACACGTTTGAAAAGTGAGGAATATTTTGGGAAGGTGTATTCGTTACAGTGATTTCTGTGGTAAATGCTTTGAGAATAAAGCATGGTCCTGGTTTCCTCACTTATTTTCCTTCTTTGTAAGAGCAAGAAGAACTTTCTCAGAAATCTCTAGCAAACCTCTCTTTGGGTATCTTTGGCCAGAATAAGGTTCAATCCTATTTAACTTACTTCAGTGACATGGCCTGAGAGATTCAGTTACACTTAGAGACCAGACAGGTGTACCACTTGGAAGTGATACAGTCATTCCCCAAACTGGAGGTGCAGGGGAGTACACAGAATGATGTTGGGAAGTCATCTTCAGGGGCCATTCCAGAAAGAAGTGCTCTGGGAGAGATTTTGAGGTCTTAAGCTAGGGAGGAGACTGTGAATGTCAAGCCTGAAGGGTCAACAGAAACGATGAGTGATAATGTCCAGAGGCAGGAGGCCTGAGGGGATGATACGAACTTGTGATAACTTTGGGGTGGAGGCAAAGCGATGGGTGAGAACTGAGGTCTTGAGGCCCTCAGACTACATCTAAAAACACCAAGCCAGATCCTAGAAATAATTTGAAACAGATTGGAACGATTTTTTTCCTAGGTAAGCACATATGTATCCTTTACAGAAGAATATAGCATTTCCTTTTGATTTTAATAAAAGAAGTATGTGTTCATGGTAGAAAATATGGAAAACGCAGAAAAGGACTTAGGAAAAATGGAAATCTTGTCCTTGTGACCAGTTACTTTATCATTTTGTTCTATTTCCACTCTGTAGGTGTGGCCACATGTGCATCTGTATGTTTTATGCACTATCGTGGTTGGAGCCGTGCAATCTAAATTGGGCAAGCTAGAAAGTAAGAGTTGGAGGGGTTTGTGTTTAGGGATAAGTGAAGGGTTTAGGAAGGCTTTGGAGAAGCGGGGGCTTCGTGCTTCCTGGAAAGTTGGGTTTGCCTTGGCAGATTGGGGTAGGGCAGAGAAGGCTAAGGCTTCCCTAGTGCACAATAAGATCAGTGTGGCAGGAGCATCAGTCATGGGTGGGGATGGATTAGGAGGGGAATAAGGCTGGGGGAACTAAGGTGGTTCATATTATGGAGGTCCTCGAATGCCATAAAATAGAGGCTGTATTATGCCAGCAGCAAGGATTTGGGACAGTTTTGAGCTGACGCCTGTTTACATTTAACAACTAATGCAGTAACAGTCTCACTTCCTTCTAGAGAGTACAGTTGTCCAGCCCCATTCCCCCAGGGTGTGGTTTTGTGAAGCAAATCCCCTTGCTGCCTTCTTCTAGCCTGGCTCTGACACCTGCCGTCCTTACTAGGTAGTGCAACCTTCCTGGGAAGCCCTGTGTCCCCAGTGTGCCTAGCATGTAAGGTTTAACTCCTGCAAGTTAAACCCAGTGGATGGCCTTCCCTTTGTGTTCATTTTTATGACATGCATTTGGAGAATAAACTATTTAAGTTACAAAGGTGAAGTCTCATTTATTTAGATCAAATCAGCCCAAGAAATATTTTGCCTGTATCAAACAGTAACAGAGGTACATTTTATATATTCAGGAGGTAACTCTGTAATGGAGACCTCTTTTACTTCCAAGTCTTAGAACCTGTATCAAGACATACTGTGTCTTGATTCTCCATTTAAAGAGAGATTACTAATCTTTGATGTTAGGATGTTATTTAATTTATTGCTCATTTTTACTTGGGTTTTGGCTCCAATTTCTAGGTTTTCAAGCCTATGGCTGATGCTGCTGTAAAGATTGTGGAGAAAAATGGCTTCAGTGATAAGATTAAGATTATTAACAAGCATTCCACTGAGGTGACGATGGGGCCAGGTAAGATCAACACATACTGTTTTGAGGGGTGCCTGGGTGGCTCATGCGGTTGAGCATCTGACTCTTGATTTCTGCTCAGGTCATGATCTCATGGGGCTCTGCTCTGACAGCATGGAGCCTGCTTGGGATTCTCTCTCTCCCTCTCTCTGCCCCTCTCATGATAGTGCGCTTTCTCGTGCTCTCTCTCTCAAAATAAATAAACTTAAAAAAAACAAAACATACTGTTTTAAAAGCCTTATTCACTCTTATAGGAGAGAAGACAAGGTTTATTCTAGTTATCTGGAATAAACGTATTCAGGTTATTGAAGAGAAATGGGGCCTCTCCACTTGGTCTGAAGATAAGTACTTCTCTACTAGTGAAAACAAATCAGCAGTGAGTAAACCAAAACTAATGCTCAACAGTGGTGAGACAAATGAAACTTCCTTTTGCTTTAAGCAAGTTGAAATTCTTACGTGACTCAGTTCTCAGAGATTTGAGTTTTATCGACAGAAGTAAAACTAAGTAGATAGCAGAAAGAGGTTTGCTTAGTGCTGACATCCTGCTTCAGCATCCAACATGAGAGATTTGCCTATATAGCACAGTCTCTCCAGGTTTTCAGAATATTTTTTATAGTCTAGGCATTTGAGTCAGACTTCTGAAATTTCACATGCCACTTGATACCTGGAGAGACAGTGGAAAGATTGCAAAAGAAGCTTCTGGGATGAGGTTATGTATATCACCAGTTTTTTAAAATGCAGTATTTTAGATGGAAGCATCTATATAAGATCAACGTTTTTGTCCCATTTAAAAAAAATGTTTTTTTAAATGGAGAATCTGAAACATGCACAAAAGAAAGGATTAGTGTGTCCTTTATTTTTGAAGCCTACAAAAGAGTGTGCAAATAATTATCTCATTTTTTAGTCCACATTATTGAGGTATAATGTACATAAAATGAGTGCATCTGGGGCACTTGGGTGGCTCAGTCAGTTAAGTGCCCAACTTCGGCTCGGGTCATGATCTCGCGGTTCTGGAGTTCAAGCCCCACATCAGGCTCTGTGCTGACAGCTCAGAGCCTGGAACCTGCTTCAGATTCTTTCCCTCTCTCTCTGCCCCTCCCCAGCGCGTGTGCGCGCTCTCTCTCTCTCTCTCTCTCTGTCTCAAAAATATACATTAAAAAATTTTTTTAAAAAATGAGCACATCTGTCTTAAGTATATAGTTTGAGTTTGGACAAATGTAAACACATTTGTAACCTCTTCTGCATTCCAGACTGTAGAAAGTCTTTACGGTGCACATATTTCCTCATGGCCGCTTTATAGTCTTTTGCCTCCATATCACTGATCCTAGGCATCCACTGATGTGCTTTCTTCTTTTTTTTTAACGTTTATTCATTTTTGAGACAGAGAGAGACAGAGCATGAATGGGGGAAGGTCAGAGAGAGAGGGAGACACAGAATCTGAAACAGGCTCCAGGCTCTGAGCTGTCAGCACAGAGACTGACGTGGGGCTCGAACTCACTGCGAGATCATGACCTGAGCCGAAGTTGGATGCCCAACCGACTGAGCCACCCAGGCGCCCCTGATGTGCTTTCTTCAATGTAGATTAGATCCCCCCCTTTCTAGAATTTTGAGTAAGTGAAATCACCTACATGTACTCTTTCTTTTCTTTAGCATAATGCTTTTGGGTTTCATCCACGTTCTGTGGATCAAGGGTTGCTGAGTAGCACTGTGTGTGTGCATACTTTAATTTGTTCATCCCCTCACCTACTGATGGACATGTTAGTTTCTTAGGTCTTGAGGTTTACTGTTTTTTTTCTTTTGTGGTGTCTAATCTGCTGAGTACATCTAGTGAACTTTTTATTTCTCATACTGTATTTTTCATATCTAAAGGTTTCCTTTGATTCTGTTTTATAACTTGCATTGCTCTTATTTTTTCATGTGATTTTTTAAATAGTTGTCATATCTATATTAGCTGGGGTTTTTTGTTTTTATTTTTTTTTAAGAGGACATTACTTAAAGTTTATTTTGAGAGAGAGAGAACATGCGCACATGCGTGAGCCAGTTGGAGAGGGGCAGAGAGAGGGGGGGAGAGAATTTCAAGTAGGCCTCCACACTGTCAGTGCAGAGCCTGACACAGGGCTTGATCTCATGAACTATGACATCATGATCTGAGCTGAAATTAAGAGTTGGACTCTTAACCAACTGAGCCACCAGATAGCTGTTTTAACATCCTTATCTTCTGGTTCCACTGCCTCAGTCTTTCCTGGGTTTATTCTGCTGACTAATTTTTATCCTGACTCTGGATTACATTTTTCTTCTTCACATGTCTAATAATTTTTATTTGGATGCTATGTATGGTGGGAGTTTTGCATTGCTGAGTACCAGAGTTTATTGTCTCCCTTTAAAAACTTTGGGGGCATCTGGGTGGTTCAGTCAGTTAAGTGTCTGACTTTGGCACAGGTCATGATTTCATGGTTTGTGAGTTCAAGCCCCACCTTGGACTCTGCTGTCAGCACAGAGCCTGCTTTGGATTTTCTATCTCCCTCTCTCTGTCTCGTGTCTGCTCACTCCCTCTCAAAAATAAATAAATTTTTTTTTTTTAATAAAAAAAAAAAGGCTTTGCCTGGCATGCAGTTGGGCTACTAGTAGGTTAGTTTGATCCTTTGAGGGCTTGTTTTTTTTTTTTTTTTTTTTAATTTTTTTTTTCAAGTCATTTATTTTTTGGGACAGAGAGAGACAGAGCATGAACCGGGGGGAGGGGCAGAGAGAGAGGGAGACAGAATGGAAACAGGTCTAGGCTCTGTAGCTCCAGAGCCTGAGGGTCTTGAACTCATGACTGATCATGACCTGGCTGAAGTTTAGACCGCTTAACAGGCCACCAGGCTCTGTGGCTTGTTTCTAAGCTTTGTTGGAGCAGGGTTAGAATAGCTTTATTTATTTATTTATTTATTTATTTTTAGAGATTTTTATTTTTAATCTCTACACCCAATGTAGGACTCGAACTCACAGCCCTGAGATCAAGAGCCACATGCTCCACTGATTGAATCACCTGGCACCCCGATTAAAATTTTAAGTCCGGCTTCTGCTTTTAAATTTGGGCCTGAAATTTGTGGAGGGAGCTGTCCTGTGGTGGGAGGAAGACCCCTGGCTTCTAACCAGTAGAAGCTGGTATCACCTACTCCCCCACTAGCATTTGTACCAACCAGAAATGTCTCCAGACATTGCTGAATGTCTTGGGGGTGGGTAGGGCAAATGCCCTCTGAAAACCACTGTTGCTCCTCCTCCTCCTCCTCCTCCTCCTTCTTCTTCTTTTTTTAATGTTTATTATTTTTCAGAGAGAGCATGAGTAGGGGGAGGACAGAGAGAGAGAGAGGGAGACAGAATATGAAGCAGGCTCTAGGTTCTGAGCTGTTTGAGAGCCAGATGCAGGGCTCAAACTCATGGACCAAGAGAACATGACCTCAGCCGAAGTCAGATTCTTAACCGACTGAGCCACCCAGGCGCCCCTGTTTTAAGACTACCTTGGTCACACTAGCAAAGCATGGCTTTTCTGGGGTCTCTGCTTAGTGTCTGGTGCTGTCTGAGTGGAACTAGAATGTTTCCCAGTCCTCTGTGAGCTCTGGAAATTATTCAATTTCTAGCTCTATGGTCGTCCTTTGCCAGACTTTCTATATTCTTCTATATGTGTGAATATATTCAACAAGAGGCTTCGGGGGAGTCCTGTGCAGATTTCGGAAACCTGCTTTCTGTGTAACATCCTCTCTGGTCCCTGCCCCCAGTCGTGAGCCCCAGCCACCTGCCCTCTCTCAGCTTCAGTTGCTATCTCTTTACCTCAGCAAGATTGCTACGTTCTGCCTGACATCTTGCTTTTTGTACAGCATCTGGAAACTACCTACTGGCAGAAAGCCAGAGCAGTTGCAGGGGTCACTTTGTTTCTTTTCTTAGAGAACAAATTTGTTTCCTCTTATTCAACATCTGAAAACACTTGTTTCATATATTTTATCTAGTTTTCTAGTTGACTACAGTGGGTGGCTAAGTTTGATCCCAAGTACTCCACAGGTAACTTGGGGAGCAACATTTGTCCATCTAGTCATGTGGCAAAGACATACAAGGCACTGGGATAACCACCCCTCCCCAGGTTCCCACTGCACCCTCCTGTATTAGCACTCACATGCTAGATACCAGGCTCTTCAAGAGTATTTATTGAGATTCAGTGGATCATAAAACTTTGTTTATTTGAAGCAAATTGAATAATAAATCATTTTAAGTTACAAAATTGTTTTAAGAATTTTTCAGGAGGTAGAATTGGCAGGGCTTGGTGACTGATTGGATGTAAGATGACAGGGAGGAATCAAGAATTCAGCCAATGTTTGCTGGTTGTTGTGGGTGCTAGGTGTTGTTCTAGGCATTGGGGTAAAATGGCAAGTAGAGCAGGAAAGGTCTCTGCTCTCCTGGAGCTGACAAATGATGCCCTGGTTTCAGGGCTGTGTGACCGGTGGTGCCATCCACTGAGGCAGAAGCATCGGAGGGAGAAGCAGTTGTGTAGGGGTTGGGTGCAGTTTGGGATAATATATTTCCGTTCGAGTTTGGCATGATATCACAGATGTGGGCAGTGCCGTTCAGGAGGGCAGTCTCTGTGCCAAGAGAAAGATGTTTCTTGTCAGCCTCCTTGCATGGCATACTGCCATTGAGCACAAGGGTACTTCATAGCAAGTAGATACCTGGGTGGCCCAGTCAGTTGAGTGTCCTACTCTTAATTTCAGCTCAGGTCATGATCTCACAGGTTCCTGGGATGGAGCCCTGCATTGGGCTCTGTGCTGAGAATGCAGAGCTTGCTTGGGATTTTCTCTCTCCCTCTCTGTCCCTTGCTTTTGAGCATGTGTGCACATACTCTCTCCCTGTCTCAAAGTACGTAAACTTAAAAAAGAAAGTGAAAGTGGACAGTTTTTTCCTTTGCTGTGCTACCACCATATCTCATTACTCTTGTTTTAAAGATTACGTGACTGATGGTCAGCACTGAAGGTTCAAGGCTAGAAAGTGGGATCCAGCCCCAGGTCTCCATGACTTCAGGTTTTCTCTACCTCACCCTCCTTTGAGCTTCCTAAATGCTTCTCTTTCCTTTGTTATCCATGAGACTTGTCTTCTGTGTGGGGAAGATGAGTGGGCTTTGTCAGATGAGAATTTGTGTGCCATTAGAAGTATTTATGGTTAATTCTCTATGATAATTAGCCCCTTCCAAAGTTTATTGTCTCTTGGCTCATTAAAAATTGTAATTGTAGAAGTAACATTACATTACATGATGGAGGCTTGAGAAATAGATTCAGCAAAAAGATCTTCCCTGATCCTAGTATTCTAAAACAACTATTATTTGGGGGATTGACTGGTAGCAAGAAATTAACTTAATTAAGGAGGATTTAGTAGAAGGAACTGGGGATTCTGAATCCTGGATCTTGTAGTATCATTGGAATCATGCAACCTCTCTTGCTTTGGTTTTTCTCTCTCTGTGCAGCCTAGAAATAGAAGTACCAGCATTCAGGGGCACCTGAGCGGCTCATTCACTTAAGCTTCCTACTCTTGATTTCAGTTTAGGTCATGATCTTATGGTTTATGGGTTCAAGCCCCAAGGTTGGGCTTCATGCTCATGGCATGGAGCCTGCTCGGGATTTCTCTCTCTCCCCCTGTCTCTGCCTCTCCCCCATTCGTGCTCGCTCGCTCGCTCTCTTTCTTAAAAAAAAAAAAAAAACTTAAAAAGTAGAAGCATTAAGTTTTTGTTTTTCAAATCATTGTTGTTAATATGTTAATAGTTTATTTAATTGTTAATTTGCATCTCCAATTGCTAATAAGAATGATACGTTTTTGGGGTGCCTGGGTGGCTCAGTTGGTTAAGCACCTGACTCTTGATCTCAGGGTCAGGAGTTCAGGCCTTGTGTTGGGGTCTACACTGGGCATGGGGCCTACTTTAAAAATAAATAAATAAATAAATAACATTTTCCATATAATTGATTGATTTTTCTGTTTTGAATTGTCTCTTTGTATTTTTGCCTGGTTTTCTTTTTGGGTGTTTATAGCTTTCTTATCAGTTCTGCAAGTCCCTTGCAATATTAAATGTACAGAAAAATTGAAAGAGTGGTGTAGTGGACGCTTACATTCTCTTAAGCAAGACTTATCAGTTGCTGGTATTTTGATGTGTATATGTACATCGAAATGGGCTCTTTGGTGAGCCATTGGAAAGTTAGTTGCATGACACTATTGAATTCTTCGGTATATGTATATGCTTTCAATTTAGTGATCTGTTAACCTTTTATCTTTCACGTATTTGTTGTAAATATTTTTTTGACCGCTTGCTTCTGGCTCTTTGTTCATGTTTCTTAGATGGTGACATGCCATGCCGTGCCAATATCCTGATAACGGAGTTGTTTGATACGGAACTGATTGGAGAGGGAGCGCTGCCTTCCTATGAACATGCACACAGGCATCTCGTGCAGGTAGGGAATCAAGGACCTCCCTCGCACATATTGCTGTGATCTCAGCCAGCTCACACAGGTCTCATTGATACAATGTGCTGTGCACAGCCTGAGCCCTCAGTACTTCTCTGTACACCTTAGGGTGCCCTTCATTCCTACAAGACTCTGGTTCTCCTCAATTAGGACTTCTGGATCTCTTATCAGGTCTTTGTAGGCTAGAGTCAAAAGGCAAGAAACTGTGTTTCAATTCAATTCAGCAAACATTCTTTGAATGTCACCCGTGTATAAGGTGTTCTTGCATCCAGGGAGAAATATCAGACATCCTTCTTGTTTCTAAGATCCACCGTCAGTGACAGTAAAGACTGGTTGGGCCAAATGGAGAGGCACACAGAAGCACCACTAACATTTGTTTTAGGACTGGCGGATGGGGTCTGGGTTCAGGAGATGAGGTCATGTGTAGAGATGGTGGAATTTGGAAAGGCACTGAGAAGAGAGAGAGGTATCCCAGGTAGAGGACCTGTTTGGTAGGTCAGTGAGAACACCACACTGAGTGGGCTTGTGAGCTAATGGTGGAGAGTGGGGGAGAGGGTGGAAGGCCTTGAATGCGAAACCATTCCAGGTAGAAGAATTTGGGTAGTGATAATCGTTGACAGTTTTGGGGGAAGGGAGAAGCGTGTTGAAAGTGTTATCTCAGGGATGTTGGTCTTTTTTTTTATGGACATAAGCTTCCCCAGAGGCAAAAGCCAGGTGGGGAGGTATGAGTGTCTGCTTCTTTTGCTGCCACCTGTCCTGTGGGAACCATCCAGGTGAGCCTGCAACTGTCCCAGTCTGGGGCCCTCTTTGGGGATTCTTGGTGTTCGCACAATGAAGAATGTGGCTCCTTCCAGGGCAATTGGGGCCATAGTCCACCTTACTCACACGGTCAGCATGTGATGGTGATTGTTCCACAGATCCCTACGCTGTGTGAGATGTCTCATTGTCTCCAAAATGTGAAATCTTTTTCTAGTAATGTTAGTAATTATTGCTGTTTCTTCACATTAAAACCATCAGCTAAAGCAAAACAAAACAAAACAAAACAAAAACTACCAACTAGATGAATCCCTGAAACAGAGAATGAGGATGTTAGAATTATGTTAGTGTTGCCCAATTGGTCTTTTCTCTAATACATTTAATAATTATGAGTTGTGCAGGCAGCCATCTGCAGTTTCCTTTCTCAGATGACCTGTGCAGCTAGGTGTCCATTGTCTGGGGGTATTTTTTTTTTAATGTGTTTATTTTTAATGTTTATTTATTTATTTTGAGAGTGAGCAAGTAGGGGGAGGGACAGAGAGAGAGGAGAGAAAGAATCCCAAACAGGCTCCATGCTATCAGTACAGAGCCAGATGTGTGGCTCGATCCCGCAAGCTGTGAGATCATGACCTGAGCCGAAACCAAGAATCAGGCGCTTAACTGACTGAGCCACCCGGGTGCCCCTCCACTGTCTGTTCTAATCGCTGTCCCCATCTGTCCACCCTGTTTCTGAGATTGAAAGAATTATGGCTTTACACAAAGGCTTCCATTGCCCTGTCCCTCTTCCTGCCTTGTTGAGGGTCATGGAACTAGGATGCTGGCATGTCTAACAGATAGTCCATCTGGTGTCCATGTGGTGATGAATGACCCAGTGATTAATCTGAGAAGGTAAATTTATCAAGTGCCTTCATTTTTCTGGGCTCCTTTTTGAGTACCAGGAATATGAAGGTGCACTCCCAGACAGGCAGGTAGGTGAGCAGGTTATCCCAGTACAGTTGGAGTTATGCTCAGATGGTCAGTGGGGTGAGATCCTGTCCGCTCTGGTAGGGTATGATGGGGAGCATGAAGGGAGATAAAGCTTGAGCTGAGTCTGTCTTCAAGAGTCATCAAGTATTGGCCTGGCAGACGAGGGTATTCTCAGTAGAAAAGGTCAGCATGCAGAAAGATGTGAAGAAGAGCTGGTACAGGGCGAGTTGTTGGCATTATGGGTAGTGTGGGAGGCAGGACTACATTCAGATGGGCCCCTGTGCTCCAGAAGGCAGTGTGTTACCACAGGAGGGGACTGACATTGGATTCATGCAGGCAGGCATTTGGAGAGCAGTTGAGGTGTAAGATCAGAGGTAGGAAGACTGATTGGAAGGTGGTTGGGGTCATTCAGGCCCTGAGGCTGAGACGAGCCTCAGCTGAGACCAGGGAAATGGGCCTGGAGAGGTAGACTTGGGGAGGAGGAAGGTGGTCAAGGACTTGGTAATTACTTAGATGTGGAGGCATTGAGGATGATGCCAGGGTTTGGGGCTAGGTGATTAGGTTGGATGTTGGTGTTCCCTACTGAATGGGAGGACCACCAAACCCGGGAAGGAGGGGGAGAGGTGAAGGTGATTTGTTTGGTTTAGACAGAGTTTGAGCTATCTGAGGGTCAGCCAAATGGAGTGGACCAGAAGGCTTTTGGACACGTGGTATTTGGTAAACGAAATACCAAATTTCCCTGGCTGAGCTCCCTCAGGGGAGAGTATGTGGAGGGAGAGAAAGGTGGGCCCAGACCAAGTCTGGAGTTCTCTCTGAAGGATGAACAGGGGAAGTTTAGCCTTCTGAAGGAGACAGAGGGGGAGAACAGTACTTCTTATCAGGGGTCATGCTTGGAGACATTTTCGTTGTTACAACTGAGATGGGGATGCTATTGGCATCCTTGTGGATAGAGGCCAAGGTGTTGATAAACATGGTATGATGCACCAAATAGCCCCATACCAAAGGATCATCTGGCCCAAGAGGTCACTAGTACTAAGGTAGAGAAACCCTATGCCTGTCATTTCCCTCCAGTAGTAGCTGTGTCTTCCTCATGGCTGGGCCCCTGGTGCCTGGTGCGTAGAGGCTGTCAGGTGAAAGAAAGGGGTAGGAGGGAAACTGGATGAGGTGTTTCAGCCAAAACCAAACAAGGGGAGCAATTGGCAGTGCCCAGTGAGGCCAGGAGATTAGGTCATCTGAGGGTGGACACTTGTCCATTGGGCTGTGCAATAAGGTTCTGGCGTCTGGGTGAGAGCTGTACCTAAGAGAAACTCTGAGCCCAGTGCCAGAATTACTGCTTCGCAGGAAGTCTTGGACTCTTTCTTCAAAGTTGATGTGGGAGTTAATCAGCATGACAACAATTAAGGGTTATTTTTGAAGTATTTAAAAGTGTCATGTAGCCAGGAATTTATCTGACATAAATCATTTTAGATATAGCATGTATTCTTTTTGAAATGTGGTTCCTTTTTTCTCCTTTCCCAAGGACATTAGGCCAAAAACAGTTCACTGTTCTTCCCCTCTCCCCCTCCTCTCTGTCTCCCTCTCCCCCCCCCCCCTCCTCTTCTGTCTTTTTTTTTCTTGAGAGAGACAGAGAGTGCAAGCAGGGGAGAGGGGCACGCTCGGGGGGAGAGGCAAAGAGAGAAAGTGGGAGAGAGAATCCTAGGCAGGCTCCATGCTCAGTGTGGAGCCCCACACAGGGCTCAATTCCAAGATCCTGCGATTACGACCTGTGCTGAAATCAAGAGTCTGATGCTCAACTGACTGAGCCTGAGCCACTTAGGCATGCCTGGAACAAACCTCTTTTGATCCATGAGGATTACTGTGGGTTTATTTTCTAATAATATACTGGTTTGTTTTTTCTTCTTTTGTTTTTTTTAACAAACTTAGGAAAACTGTGAGGCAGTGCCTCACAGAGCAACTGTCTATGCTCAGCTGGTGGAGTCCAGGAGGATGTGGTCATGGAATAAGCTCTTTCCTATCCCCGTGCATACCAGCTGTGGAGAGCAGGTCATCGTCCCCCCCTTGGAACTGGAGAGGTGCCCTGGTGCACCCTCTGTCTATGACATTCAGCTGAACCAGGTGTCATCCGCTGACTTCACTGTCCTCAGTGATGTGCTGCCTATGTTCAGGTACCAAGAAGCCACCCCAGCTGACGGCGCTTTAAGATATTTGGTGGAATTGGGGTCTTTAGAAGTTCTTAATGAGTGAGAAGGAAACCTAGCTGAGGTCACCTGCTTCTGAAGGCAGGAGTCCATTGCAGACAAGTTCCATTGCTAGTGATGTCACCATAAAAGCTTAAAAATGGAGTGTGTGGGCTTAAAATATACTTAAATTCTTGCATATTCTTCCACAGTGTGGACTTCAGCAAGCAAGTCAGTAGCTCAGCAGCCTGCCACAGCCGGCAGTTTGAACCTCTGGCATCTGGTCAAGCTCAGGTGGTTCTCTCTTGGTGGGACATTGAAATGGACCCTGAGGGGAAGATTAAGTGCAGCATGGCCCCCTTCTGGGCACACTCAGACCCAGAGGAGCTACAGGTAAGAGATAATACCTGAGCACATTTTCATGTAAATCAGGAAACTTACCCACTTATGGTTGTGGGAAAGTAACGTGTTGAACCTTAGATTCACAAGAACTTAGAGACCGGAGGGGCTATGTCAGAATCAATGTCAGAGAAGAGTTAAACAAAAATCCCCAAAAGGCAAGGCTACCTATCATAATAAGATATAAAATAGATCTCTCAGCCGAATTCAGGCAGCAGCCACAGAGGGGGCCTTGGGGAAACTTGGATGTGCTGGCTCTCCCAACTCCTAGCACAGCTACTCTCAGAGCCCACACCCCTTGCCCCCGAGTAATCCCAGGGAGCCTCACATCAAGTTGGAATGGAGGACTACAGTCTGTCTGCAGACTTATTTTCTGCGTGGCCTCAAAATCTAGCTTTTCTAAAAAAAAACGGGTACCTTTTCTAGCTCAATTGAAAGTGGGTGAGGACGTGAACTACAGAAAAGGAAATGCAGAGTACTGTTTAACATGTGAAAAGCTGTTCAGCCTCACTCATAAGAGCAGTGCACATGTAAACTGCAGTGAGACATGATTTTCCACCTGTTAGTGATGAAGTTCAGGAAATTTGGTAATGCACTGTCAGGAGAGCTGTGGGGACAACTGGCCAGTGAGCATCACAGCTTCCATGGAGCACAAGGAGGCCTACCTAATCTGTCATCAGAGGAAGGATGCCACTTCCAGACATTTAGGTTCTGGATAGATTGGTGTCTGTGTATAATGACGTGTGCTGGGATACTCACTGCAGCCCTGATTTAACAGAAAAGACTGGAACAACCTAGAAGCCACCAGTAGGGGACTGCATCCTTACTGATGCTAAGAGAGGCAGCTCTCTTATCACTGATGGAGAATAATCTCTAGGATGATCATTAAGTGAAACAAAAATAGAGGTGCTGAACAGTGTGTGCTATGCCAATGTTGGTATCAATAAAAATAAGATGTATGTGTTTATGAGTGTATATGTGTGGTGGGTGTGTATAAGAATATATTTGGAAGAATCCACATAAATTGGTAAAAATGGTTGTTTCTGGGAAGGGGGCTAGAGGTTAGGGGTGAAAAGCAAACTTACTTTTTACTCCATGACCTTTTTATATCTTTTGAATTTTCTCTCAAGTGCACGTGTTGTCCACCCCTTATATGCACACCTAAAGGGAAAAAAAGTGGGAAAGGTGCCTGTTCAGGGCCAAGGAATCAAGCCTTCCTTTTCCGCCTGGGAGGCCCTGGGGCACCATCCTCTCTCTGTGTTTTGTTGTCCTGTTAACCATTTGCTGGGCACTGGGTTTATCTTGATTGCTCATCTGCTAGTTCTAGTGTGACTTCTAAGGATGACCTTAGCTGCTCCCCTGCTCTCTGAGTTACTGCTTAGGCCAAAGGGTCATGACTGCTACAGGATTGCACTTGGTCCCTTTCCCCCCTCCCGGGCCTTTGAGGTCCCTCTTCTCCCTTCTGCCCTCCACTTGTCTGGCATTGGGCGTTGTGTGACTCCAAGCAGTGTGTATGAACTTCCTCGGCATATCCTGGTCCTCTGCAGGCTCAGGGTGTATTTGGGGGTGGGAGGAGGGCATGGGTCAGAATTCTTCTACAGAATTGAGATTGACGCTGGGCTGTTTTCTTTCCCTTTGGGAGTGTGAGGATACAAATTAGCATAAGAATGCAAAATGCTAGTGATCTCATTTGCATATCTTCAAAGTGCTACTATGTATATTTTCTTGAATTCCCGTGGAAGACTTGCTGGGTAACCACATACTGCCCAAACTGAGACTGAGACCCAACCCAGTGAGTGATTGGAGCAGGGCCTTCTATCTAGGCGGCAGTAGTGGATGCTTGTCCCTAGGTCTCCTGACTTTGTGTCCTTCCTTTACCAGTGTTTTGTACAGTTTGTGCCCTTTGTTTACCAGTGGTGGCCTGTGGACTGTTAGAAATGTGAAGAGCTGCTTGCTAATGCATTTCTCTCTTGACTTCACTAAACTGCTCTTGGTTTGAAATATATTCAGTTTGTCTCACCTTGGGCAGTGGGTTCTGTCAGCAGACCTTTAGCTTAAGAACCTGGGAGGCTGGCGTGTTGAGAAGGACTTGATGATGATCAGGGAGCATTATGGGAGCCCGGGAGGGGTTGGGGACGGCTTCTTTTGTCTTTGGGTCAATTTGCATAGTAAGGAATGAACTACAGGTTTTAGAGAATCTGTTTTTTCCTCCTTGTGTTTCCTTATTCTACAGTGTGTCTAGTTACATTGTCATTTTCTAGCTTTTATGTTCAAATAGACATCTTAGATACCTGGGGCTGTCATTCACCTGCGTTTTAGTTAGATCCAAATCTGGGGAGGGCGGAATGCTTCCTGAGAAGTAAGGCTGGTGTCAGCCTCATTTGGGTCTGCGCCCAGCAGTGATGGAGTCTCCCTGGGGCCAAGTTTTTCTTAGTTCCTGATGATGACAGAGAATGAGTACACGCTTGTGTCATCAGAATTGAGCCAGGCATCCACTTTTTAGGACAGTTCTTTCTTTTTAAAAAAGAGGCTTAAAGGTTATGAGAGTAATAAACCTTGTGTAAAACAAAAATGAATCCAAAGTCACTCAGGGTCCTGTCACTGCTAAGAAAGAACTCCCTTCCTTTGATCTCTTTCCATATGCACAGATTTTGTCAGTGCTGACTTCTAGTTTCATGCTGCACTAGTCATGATAGTTACCATTTTCAGCGTCTGTGAATATTCTGAATAAGATTTTGTAGACCCATTTCTTTTTTTTTTTTTTTTTTTTCAACGTTTATTTATTTTTGGGACAGAGAGAGACAGAGCATGAACGGGGGAGGGGCAGAGAGAGGGAGACACAGAATCGGAAACAGGCTCCAGGCTCCGAGCCATCAGCCCAGAGCCCGACGCGGGGCTCGAACTCCCGGACCGCGAGATCGTGACCTGGCTGAAGTCGGATGCTTAACCAACTGCGCCACCCAGGCGCCCCTGTAGACCCATTTCTGAGCTGCTGGACATTTGGTCCAGTTTTTGCTAGTATAAATCTGTAATAAGGGTGTTCCTGAGAATATAGCTTTTTTTCCTTTTTTGTTTGCATTTTCTTAGCATAGAATCCTGTATGTGGGGTTTGTAGTGTCAAAAAGGATCAACACAGCATATTAAGTTGACCCTGGATCATTGTATACCATGTTTCACAATTTAGAGTATTCCAGGTCTTTAAAAACTATTTAATTCAAAAGAATAAACAGAACAAAACCTTTCTGTACTATTTCCCCAACTTTTTATTTTGAAAAATTCTAAATCCATAGAATAAATGAAAATAAACATTGAGATGCCCTTTACTTAAATGTAACAGTTATTTACATTTGCCATGTTTGCTTTCTCTCCCCCTTCCCTCTCTGCCTTCCTTTGTGTGTGCACACACGTGAGGTGGAGGCATGCACATGTACACACACATACACACACATGACAGAGAGGCTGGAGTCCCCTCTCCTAAACCCTTCTGGAAGACTGCTTCCCTGGGCTGTATCCTTGAAGCCAGCAAGCCTTCAGGACATGAACCTCTCTGACTTGAGAATCTTCTTATTTATCTCTGTGGCAAGAGTAGTCATCTGTAGTCCACAGCATGGTCTCCCTGCGAGCTGATTTTTGGCTTAGATTTTGGCTCCTGGATTAGAGACGTTGCTCTTTTTGCAACTTGGGGACAGCTGATATCTCTGTTCCCTATTTCAGTGGCGGGACCACTGGATGCAGTGTGTGTACTTCCTGCCACAAGAAGAGCCTGTTGTCCAAGGCTCAAGCATCTACCTGGTAGCGCACCATGATGACTATTGTGTATGGTACAGCCTCCAGAGGACCAGGTATGCCCCAAGTCTTGTGGTGGGGGGAAGCACTGGGCCTGTGATACTGTGTACTTACGTAAGTTCGCCTTATAAACAGTGTAGAGGCACAAGTGGGCATGCTTGTGTCTGAACAGAATAAAACAAGAGTAAGAGTTTGTGAGTAGATGTGTTAGTGCCCATTGGCATGTTCTTAGAAGAGACTGCCCTGGTTGCAGGGCCCCTGTTTGGGGGAGACATGAATGAGAAGTCTCGGGTTGGGGGACCCTCCAACCTCTAATGCCTACTTGAAAGCCAGTTCCTGGACTCATGCCCTCTAGAGGATGTGGGTGTGCCCACCATGGCTTGTTTAGTTTTAGTGGGGCCGATCCCTATGCCCATCTCTGTGCCATGCCTTCATGCTTGCCGGTGTCTAGCAGGTTATGCTCATCATGTGTGTCTATTTCCTGGCTTAGCCCTGAAAAGGACAGGAGAGTCTATCCAGCACGCCCCGTGTGTGACTGCCAAGCTCACCTGCTCTGGAACCGGCCTCGGTTTGGAGAGATCAACGATCAGGACAGAACTGATCAATACATCCAGGCTCTGCGGACAGTAAGTGTCCAGCCCCTTGGGTGGTTATAGTCAAGAAGGAGTTTGTAGCATGGGCCTCAGGTCATTGCTTGCTTATAATTTGCAGGTTTTGATTTCTGTACTACCTGGCTTTTGGGTGGGCACTCAGATAGTAGCCAGGAAGCATGTTAGTAGACTTTCTGAGGGCTTGTTCTCTGCTGTCCTGTGAGAACCTCTGCCTGGAAGCCTTACCTCAGCCGCTGCCATTGTCTCTCTAGACACTTTGCCTTTGTGGTCACTAGTAGTTCCTGTGGATAATCCCAGTGGATTCAGCCACCCCATTCTTCCTTTCATCTGCTGCATTCTTTCTAAAATTTTCTAAAATATGAGTCTGGTTATGTAACTCTCCTGCCTGAAACCTTTGCTCCCTGCTGCGTGTAGCAGGAGTCTCTCAGCTCAGGACTATACAGAGGGTTTGGAGAAGTGTCTTTTGGACCTCTTGGAGTTGTATGCAGAAATATGTGTGCACATATGTACATGCATGCATTTTGTCACGAGGGAAGATCCCAGCCATCTAAAGTTTCTCTCAAAGGGATCTATGACCTATAAAGTAATCCCTGCCTTTGGCAAGTCACTCAAAAGCCCAAGCTGTCTGTTCTGTGACCAGAGAGGGAAGAGGCTTATGGTAAACTGAGAGATGGCCTCTAGCAAGTGGGGCAGGTCTTCAGGTGGGCCTTGTAGGACAGCTTGGGGATAGTCTCTCCTGACAGTGAGGTCTGGGTAGGGAGAGGTGGGTGAGGTGGTTGCACTGGAGGGTGGGGGCTGCTTACTGCCTACAAGGCAAGCACAAGTCTGGGGCTACAAGAAGATCCAGCTGGGTGTTGAGGGGTGGATTGAATGATCACAGAGTGAGTTAATGGGGCTAGGAGAAAGGAAGTGTTTCTGTCAGTTTTCCAACAAGAATTTCTTGACCTGCTATAAGAAAACGTATTGAGGTTGTTATTTTCCTGCAGGTGCTGAAGCCAGACAGTGTCTGCCTGTGTGTCAGTGACGGCAGTCTGCTCTCCTTGTTGGCCCATCACCTTGGGGCAGAGCAGGTACCAGACTGCATTCTGCCAGCTTCCTGAGGGCAGCTCTTGAGTTTGAATATCACATGGTCTGGGTACACAGTTCTGTGACTAAAGGCCTTTGCAAGTGCAGCTGCCATGCATGTGGGGGCTTTGGGGTTTATTGCCTCCGTGTGCAGACAGGAGTCAGGCTGTAGCTATTCCCATATAGCTGCAGCTCCAGTGTCTGAGTGCTCCTTGCTAGCATCAGTGCAGAAAGTGGGTGCTGTCTCAGTGGGTAGTGAGCACAGGTAGACTTGGTAGGTGGTACATTCTGCCTTGGAATTATCTTGTTGGGTTTTAACCTTTCTTTTTTTTTTTTTTTTTTTTTTTTTTTTTTTTAATTTTTTTAAACTTTTATTTAGAGGGAAAGAGAAGGGGAGGGACAGAGAGCAGGGCGGCGGGTGGGGGGACAGAGGATCCAAAGTGGGCTGTGCGCTGAACAGCAGAGAGCCTGATGTGGGGCTCGAATTCACAAACCACAAAATCGTGATCTGAGCCGAAGTTGGACACTCAACCAGCTGAGCCACCCAGGTGCCCCAGTTTTAAATCTTTAATTTCTTCTTTTTTAATGTTACTTAGAACAAGAACGAGTCGGGGAAGGGCAGAGAGAGGGGGAGACAGAGAATCCCTAGCAGACTCCATGCTCAGCTCAGACCCCTGATGCAGGGCTCGAACTCAAAACCATGAAATCATGACCTGGGCCGAAATCAGGAGTCAGATGCTTAACTAGCTGAGCCGCCCAGACGCCCGTTAATCTTTAATTTCTTTGTCAAATGAATCTCTAATAGCATCGTATTCTTTTTAGGTATTTACAGTGGAGAGCTCAGCAGCTTCTCATAGACTGATGAAAAAAGTAAGTGACTGTTATTACTAAACTATCGGGCGGGGAGGCAGGTCAGGGGCCTGCCTTGCTGAGTGTGGGATTGATTGCTCTGATGCTGTCTTGGCAGTAAGGGAGCTGGTGAGAGTTCCCACCTTGAGAGCCGGTGTAGAAGTCTTCTGGGGCTGTTGCTGAATAGCAGCAAACATTTAGACTCTATTTTTTATGGCTTTTCTCCTCGCTTCACATAAAACTAAAAAAGCTGCAATCTTTGCAGTGATATAACTGAATTTATGATTTGTTTTTGGGACCCAGTGCCCAGGGAGTCAACACTCACAAGCTGACCTGACTGATTGGTTCCATGATGGTATTTCTTCCCTTGGCCATCGATTGGTTTTGATTTCCTTTCTGAAGGAAACTACCAGAACTACAAGCCTATTGCTAAGTCCTGCTGATACGTCTGTAAGAAATTTCTTTTGCTGGTACAACATTTTGCTTGGTGCACAGGATGCCCCTGGAGGAGAGGATTTTCACAAAGCAGATAAAAGTGGTGCTTAGAACAATTTGGCCAGAAAACTGCAAGCATACAAAACAACTTTGAGATGTTTTTTCTGGACAAAAACAATACTTTCATTTTTTTTCCTCATAAGATTTTCAAGGCTAATCACTTGGAAGATAAAATTAATATAATAGAGAAACGGCCTGAATTGTTAACATCTGCAGACTTGGATGGTAAAAAGGTGAGTGGCAGGGGCTCTGCATTCGCATGGACAGCACAGCACCGAGATGGCCTGAGTCCCCCTTCTCTTCTCAGGCCATACATTGGGTCCCATACCTAACTCAGCCCCTGTGGGAATGTGGTGAGGCATTGCATAGATGTCTGGTCTGCAAATACATGAGCTGCTCTGAACTCTGACCGATCTCTGCTCCTTCCGAGTGAGGACAGAATGGTTCTGTTAGGATGAATAGCCGCCTGTTGTGGCCTCTCTGCCTTATCCCTTTACAGTGCTCCAGCTCCCGTTCACTCCTGTTATTTTGGTTCACTTTTCACTGTTCTGCTTACTTCCTGCCACCTCGGCAGTTGATCTTCTGTCCCCTACGGTTGGTCTTGTCACACAATCCACCCACCACCCGTTGCTTCTAAAACTACTCCCACCCCTTAGTAATCCTGAGATGTAAACACAGTCTTCTGCCTTTCCTCTCACTGGCCCCCTGGGCCCTCATGACTCAGGGGCCTCTCCCTTCTCAACACATTTCTTTTTAGGGCCTTAAGAGACTGCTTTTTCCAGGTTTTTCTCTTACTTTTGTAGCTGCTCTTCCTGAGCTTTTCATGGGTTTCTCTTCCTTCACTTGATCCTTCCATAGCAGTCTTCTGATGGTTTCTCCCTGTCTGTTCTCTCCTCTCCCTCTGTGTCTCCTCTCTCTCTAGGTGATCATGTCCTTTCCCATAAGGGAATCTTTGGCCTCCAAAGCTGGGTCTGCAAATCTCTCATGTCCAAGTGCCCACTGGATGCTTTCCTTGCATATCCTGCAGGCCCTTCAAGCTGGAATCCATCACCTTTCTTCACCAGCTTTTTAACAGCTTTACTGAGATGTAATTGACATACCATAAAATTAACCCATTTCAAGTGTACAGTGATTTTTTTAATAAATTTTTAGACATGTACAACTATCACACACTCTAGTTTTAGAGCATTTCCATCACCCAGCTCCTAGCCCCAGGCAAGCACTGATCTGGTTTCTTTGTATCAATTTGTCTTTTCTGGGCATTTCATACAAATGGAGTAGAACGATACATGGTTTTTAGTGTTGGGCTTCTTTCACTAGTCGCGCTTTTGAGGTTCATCCGTGTTGTAGAATGTGCCAGTATTTTATTACATTTTAATCCTGAATAATATGCCATGTCACATTTTGTTTATCCATTTACCTGTTGGTGGATATTTGGATTGTTTCTTCTTCTTCTCTCTTCTCTTTCTCTCTTCTCTTTCTCTCTTCTTCTTTCTTCTCTCTCTTCTCCTTCTCTCTTCTCCTTCTCTCTTCTCCTTCTCTCTTCTCTTTCTCTCTTCTTCTTCTCTCTTCTTCTTTTAATGTTTGTTTATTTTTCAGACAAAGAGAGTGAGCAGGGGAGGGGCAGAGAGAGGGAGACAGAAGATCCAAAGCAGGCTCTGCCCTGACAGCACAGAGCTCCATGTAGAGCTCAGACTCACAAACCACAAGATCAGGACCTAAGCTGAATTTGGACGCTTAACCATTTTTGGCTGTTAGAATAATACTGCTGTGAGCGTTGATATATGTCTTTGTGAAGATATGTGTTTTCAGTTCCCTCAAATGCTTAGGCTTAGAATTGCTGGGTTGTGTAGTATTTTTGTTTAACTTTTTAAGGTACTTCTAAACTGTCCAGAGAAGCCATACCATTCCACATCCCCATTACACACGAAGGTTCCACTTTCTCTGTATCTTTACCAGCACTTGGTATTGTCTTTTTTATTACAGTCATTTTCACGAGTGTGAGTTTTAATTTGTATTTGCCTAGTAACCACTGGTGTTGAATACGTTTCCTGCGCCCATTAATTGCTCCATGTCTAGCTAGCTGAAATCACTCTTCAGGTCTTTTGCCCATTTCTCCCTATGCCTTTTCTTTTAAGGAGAGTTTTTTTGAGATCTAATTCACATACCATACAGTTCACCCACTTAAAGTGTGAAATTCCATGATTTAGTATATTCATACAGTTGTACAATCATCACGAGTCAATTTTTAGAACATTTTTATCACCTAAAATGAAACCCATGCCCATTAGAAGTCACTTCTCATTTGCCCCCTGCCCTCCCAGCCTCTAGGGAACCACCAGTCTACTTTTTGTCTACAAATTTGCCAATTCTGGACATTTCATGTAAGTGGAATCATGGGATATGTGTGGTCTGTTTGAGACTGGCTTCTTTCAAGGTTCATCCATGTAGCATAAATCAGTACTACATTTCTTTTTACTGCTAAATAACATCCCATTTCATGGATAGGCCACATTTTGTTTATCTGTTCATTCGTTGCTGGACATTTGAGTTGTTTCTGTTTTTTGGTTGCTATAAATGATGCTACCATGAACACTCAGTACAAGTTGCCCTTTTTTTTCTCATAGATGAGGATTAAAAACTTACTCTAGTTCTGGGGAGCCCGGGTGACTGAGTTGGTCAGCATCTGACTTCAGCTCAGGTTACGATCTTACAGTTTGTGAGTTCGAGCCCCACATTGGGCTCTGTGCTGATAGCTAGGAGCCTGGAACCTGCTTTGGATTCTCTGTCTCCTTCCATCTCTGCCCCTCCCCAGCTCACTCTCTGTCTCTCAAAAAGAAATAAATGTTAAAGAGAAAGCTACTCCACTTCTATAAGCCACTGATAATGGTGCACTGGCTAGACTCTAGGTGACTAGTGTGGTGAATAGAAGGGGTGAGAGCAGGCATTCTTGCCTTGTTCTGATGTTGCAGGGCAGGGAATACTCAGGACCAGCTCTTTTCTGTCTTTGGTGTTTCCATCTGCATCTTTGTTACCTCAGCCAGACACCTAGATGTCATCTCAGATCGGCCCCTCCCTTGAGGTCCTTCTGCTTGGGCCCAGCCCTGGGTGCCCTGTGTCCTCCACATCTGTTGTGTCTCCCAGTCCTTCCTTCTGTACACTCCCTGCTCCTTTCCTGGACCACTGCAGTACTCACCCAAGTCCCTGTGGGTGGTCTCTCCGTATGTTTCATGGTCGTCAGAGGACTCTTTCTAAAACACATTCCTTCTCATTTTGAACCCCCAGTTAAAGCTTTTAGAGATCCCCTCTTACCATCAGGAAGGAGTCCAGCCTCCTTGACCTTTCATAAGCTGCCTTTGGGCAACCTAACTCCTTTCCACCTCTCTGGCCTCACCCTTTACCATCCTACCCTGCATACTCATGTAACAAGCTCTTGATGGGCCTTGCTCTCACACCCATGCTTATTCCCCTGCATACCTCTGCTAGAATCCCCAGTCCTTTGCTTTTCCTATTCATACATTTGTTCATTTGCTCAGCAAATATATACTAACCATCTCTGAGCCAGGCACTTTGCAAAGTGCTGGGGATACTGTGCTGCCAATGTCCCCACTTCTGTGGTGCTCAGAACCTACTGAGGAAGACTGCTAGAGGAGCACTGATAACAGTTTGTTATGATAAGCTGAATGGGAATCTACCCACAGGATGCCATTCAGGAAGATGTTATCTACACTGGCCCTTCCCATGAAGGGCCCAACCCTGGGGTCCCTCCACATGTCCCTTCCTCACTTCTGTCAAACCACACTGTACAAGGATAACCCCAGCCCTGTCTGTTCCCTCTTCTACTCTGCACTCCTGAGGACAGGGCTCATGTCTGCTCATCTTTGTGTCTTCAGGCAGGTGCAGACCTGGCATGCTTGTTGGTTGAGGGAATGGATGCCCTTTTATTTCCATGTTTCCCATGAACCTTGTGATCTGTCCTTCACCCTTTAGCAAAATCGTTCTGACATCTTGGCCCCCCTTCTTGCTCTGATTGCCAGATCTCTCTCCTCCTGGGTGAACCATTCTTCACTACCAGCCTGCTGCCCTGGCACAACCTGTACTTCTGGTATGTGCGGACTGCCGTGGACCAGCATCTGGGGCCTGGTGCTGTGGTGATGCCCCAGACTGCCTCGCTGCACACTGTGGTCGTGGAGTTCAGGGTAGGCCCCTCAGAAGTTGTTGCAGAAAGGGCAGGGGCTGGGGGTCCTTATTTTCTTGCAGAGACCTTGGGTGCAGATAGAGCAATGTGAGTCTTAATGATATGGGCCTCTGCTTTTCTGTATCAGCACACTGCAGGGTTGAATGGAAGAGACTTGCCTTTGTACAAATGCGGTAATTTGGCATGTGAAATGGAAATGGCTGTGTGCTGTCATTTTACAATTATCCCTTATCAGAATAATTAAAAAAAACATAAATGAAGAGTTTCAGAAGACATGCTGTGCAGCTCACTCTGTTCTTATTAAAAGTTGACGCTCCAGTTGTTAAAAGCATTTTGAGATGGAAAGTCAGCTTCTTTATGTAACAAAAAATTGGAAAGCTTCATTTTAATTTCCTCATCAAAGCAGAACCAGTCACAAAGTCATTTTGGGAAAGACGTTTCTTCTTAAAAGGATTTTGAAATGCTTTCAACCTGAGAAGTAGAGTGAACCTCATTTGATATTTCTTTGATAAGAACGGCTTCACCCATTGGTAGCTTAGTGTCTCCATCAGTGATTATCTGGGCATTTCTTCTGTGTTGTCTATTTACCTGGCGAGATTTCCACAGGAGTTCTGGCTTTCATGGCCCAGGAGGGAATGTGGGAATGATGCTCATTCCCAGACATATATCCAGGAAACGGGACACAAAATTGGCTAGCCTCAGTGCACTTCTGGTCCCTTCTCTCCCAATGTCCTCACATCCTGTTTATAGGCACAGCCTCAGGAACTGGTTTACAGATTTCTTCCCAAAGAAACCCCATCCCAGTGGCTCTGGTTGATTGTCCCCTGTAGGAGAGGACTTGATCATGTGACACTTTGCAGATTTCAGTGACCTTCCCAGATCCTTGGTGTTTCTGAGGCCTTTCAATCATGGGGTCTCTTCCAAGTGTGTGGGAATAGCAAGGGGTGCCTTTTTGGGGCTGTCCCCTTCCCCCCAACCTGACCTCACTGACTCTTCTCGCTCTTGTCACCATGCTTTCATGTCTCTGGGTGGGTGTGGATGTCTGTGTGCTGTCCTACCGAACCTGTGACATCCATCCCCAACTGGGTGTCGACAAGGGCTCTGCCTTCCTCACAGGACCTATGGCGGATCCGGAGTCCCTGTGGTGACTGCGAAGGCTTTGACGTACACATCATGGATGACATGATTCAGGTAGGTGGGGCACAGTTCCTGCCTGTAGTGTCCCACCCACCTACTCCATGTGCACAGTTTCCTACCCCTCCCACTTGGCTTTCCTTTACCCAGTCCAGGTGAACCTATTGATCCTGAGTCTGGCCCCATATGTCACCCATCCATCACCCCTGCCACTTGGTCTGTGCCCTGCGCCCTCTCACTCCTTGGCTTTATACATTCTTTTTTCTACCAACTCCTGTGTGACCTTCAGGTAGCTGCTCAGAGATCACATGTGGGTCAGCTTTCCTGCCCAACCCCATTCTCAGCCAGACACTGGTGTGTCCAGGCACTGTGATTCCCTGTCTCCCTCTAGACTGGGAGCCTCATGTAGGAGTGATCTGGCAGCTGTAGTGCTCAGTAATGGTCACTGAATGGGCAAGTGTCCAAGTGCCAGATGTTTTTACCACTGTTGACGTTTGGTCCTCAAAGTAGCTCATGAGACAGGCAGCGTCATCCCATTTTAAAAAGGGAAAAAATGAGGCTCAGGTGAAGTAACTCTCTGAGAAGACACTTGTGCATGGCAGCTGAGAGTAGAGAAGGCAGCTGGTTTGATCCCAGTGTGTGTGGTCTTTCTGTGAGGACCCACTGAGGCATCTGACTGTGGCAGTTACCTTGAGGGACCTGGGCCAAGGAGGTAAAGGACCACTGGTATAGACCTTGGAGACTGGACAAGAGCCCCTTATCTCCTAGGCCACTGGCTCTGGTTCTGTCTCTGTCTCTGCCCACTGCCACCTCCCCTTCCCTTCTCAGCGTGCCCTGGACTTCAGGGAGAGCAAGGAGGCCGAACCCCACCCGCTGTGGGAGTACCCATGCCGCTGTCTGTCTGAGCCCCAGCAGATCCTGACCTTTGATTTTCGGCAGCCAGTACCCCCACACCTGATCCATGCTGAGGGCTCCATTGAGCTGAGGAGGTAAGAACGGGTTCCAGGGTGCAGTAAGCTGGGGAAGGGAGTGGTAGGGCCTGCTTTCTGTCTAGTTACTGCCTGGGTGACTAAGCACTTACTTTGGCCATTTTCATGTGGGTGGCATGGCCTCCTTTTTTGGGCCTTGCCCTTCCTGGTCCAAAGTGGCCCTGAGTGTATAGTGGGTCCCCACTGCCTCTGGGTGTGTACAGGTGGGGAGGGAGAGCCAGAGTGGGCTTTGCACATCCCCCCACACCTGCAGCTTCCTTTGAGCTAAGTGTCATGATGGATCACAGCTATAGAGAAAAGTGATTTTTGTTGCTATGGTTACCCAGTGGGCCATTTTCCTGAACCCTGCTGGGAATTAAGCAGGTTAGGAATTGGTAAGGGCTACTCATCGTGAGGCACAGTTGGGCCATCCTGCTCCACCTCCCTTCCCAGGGAGGAGCTGCTGCTTCCCTGAGGAAAAACCCCTGTCCCATGGTTCCTCTAAGTGCTTGGCCAGGTTGCAGGGAGCAGGTGGGGCTCTGGGTTGTGGTTTTTGCTCAGCATTTTACCAAGTGGCCTTTAGTCAGGTGGAATGTTAGCAGCTTCCTGATTGGGGAGGAAGGTAAGATCAGAGGTTTCTGGAAAGCAGTGAGGAACCGTGGCTGTGCCTGCCCATCTCTTGTGTGGCTGTTTGTCTTTGGCCCAACATCCCCACCTCCAGGCCTGGGAGGAGCCATGGGGCCGTCCTGTGGATGGAATACCACCTCACACCGGACAGCACTGTCAGCACTGGCCTCCTGAAGTCTGCAGAGGACAAGGTAGTGCTGTGCACGTGAGTCCCAGAACAGGCCCACCCTGTGAGCTGGTTACAAGTTAGCCGGATTGTAACTCTTCAGTGGCCCCAGGTCACCTGGTTCTGACCAGCTTCTCACTGCGAGTTGCTTGGGCTGGAGGCTGGCCAGGAGGGGGCTTGGGTGCTAGTAGCCCTCACTATCTTCTCGCTGCTTCTACAGGGGGATTGTTGCTGGAACCCCCACTGCAAGCAGGCAGTGTACTTCTTCACCACGGCGGACCCCGGAGCGCCGCTGGGCGGCCCTCAGACTGTCAGTTACACCGTGGATTTCCACCCCCACACTGGAGACATCACCATGGATTTCTCACTCTCAGACACCCTGGACGATGGGCAGTGACCCTCACCTGTTGAGAAATAAAGTGGCCTGAGGGCTCCGGGCTCTGACTGGCGTGGCTTTCTAGGAGGGAAGGTGAAGGCACTTCTCTTTTCAGGGCCCAGCTTGGCCTCCGGGCTCAAAGCCCTCTTCCCTCTTTGTGTTTTTGCTCTGCCAGTTCCTTATTTTGGGTGTGATGGGCGACATAAACTGCTGACTGAATTTGGAGCCGAGGAGGGGCCAGGGAGCCCCCCTGCCATGGTTCTAAAATGCTTAGAAAGCTCTAGTGTGGCGTTTCCCTCTACCATCCTGGGAGCTGGCTGGGCCAGGCAAGTTATGTGCTGCTCTCAGCTGTGCAGTGCTGCGGTAGGTGTGCTGCCCCTCTGTGAGCCGCTGGCCTGTACTGGGGAACCTTGGGGTCCCTCCTGCCTGATTCCAGCTAGGAGGGGCTTCTGGGGTGGAGATGCTGACTTGTGGCTCAGTCCTGGGCCTGAAAGACCCTGACAGGGCCATCCTTTTCATCTCTTGGGTAATGTTACCAAGGCACATCCATAAGCATCTGCCATTGGTGTTGCAGCATTAGCAGGTACCCAAGACTGACACCTGGTTTCAGGCTACTGTTCAGAGGACAGGGAAGAGGCTGTCTCATAGCAGTTCCTGAGATGCAGACCAGGAAACCAGCCATCAGGAGGGGGAACCAGGAGGTAAACCTTTTCCTGTGTGCCCCCATTCCACCTTGGAAGTCTGAGGCAGGTGGGTGCCATACAGCCACCCCACCCTAGCCTGGGCCTTGCTTTGCTAGGGAAGGCTGTAGAATCCTGAGGAGGCCCCAGCCGTGCTTCTCCCTACGTTCAAGGTGTCCTTCACTGTTTATTCCCACTTCCAGAGGGAACAGGGAGACAGTAGGAACCCAGGTGGCCCAGTTTTCTGGCAGTTCAGGGCAGACTTGGCCTATTCCCATCCTTTTGGGGAGGAGGCAGGAAAGGTGCCCCCCGCCCCCAAGCCTGGCCCCAGCTTGTCGCTCAAATAAGAGAATACCAGCCTTGAGCCTCACAGTTTTATTTTATCCTTGTTATCCATCTTTCTGTTCAGCACCAGTAAAGGGGAAAAACACCTCTCTTTTCAAAATATTTTATCAGGTGTAAAGATTGTTTTTCTTCTAGGGAAGAATCGTCTGGATATATATTTGATAATAATTTTACCAAAACCTTAGGTGTGCTTACCATATAAAACCCCTAATGTCCCATGAGGATACAATACAGAAAAAAATACAGAAATTAAAAAATTTTGTTTTTTTTTTAAAACAGTATTTCTAAATCTCAGCAAGTTAATACAGTAGTTAAAAAGCATCAAGGTTAATATTCATACTTAAAACTCAAGGTGGTTTGGACAAATGGAAATGACTGTTTCCTTCTAAAGCTGACCCCTGCCTCCTGGCTTCTCTGGAGGAGGCTGGGCCTGGAGTGGGCATGGGGGCCTCAGTTGGGGATTTGAGTGACCCCTGTGTCCACCCCTCCTAGGCCTAGATGCCACAGAATCTGAGATTCTGGTAGTGTTTTCTTTGTTTTTTAAAAATCAAAATGGAAAAGTCTGGCTTGTGCATGGCCCTAGGAGTCCACAGCCTTGATGAAACATGTGGTTGGGCAGTGGCGTCCTCGATGCTGAAGCTGCGCCAGAGGGAAGTGCAAGGGGAGCTGGGACACAGGCTGGTCCGGCTCCAGATACTAGGGCCAGGCTGGGCAGAGGTGACCTTGTTAGGACAGGAAGTGACCGAGGCACAGGGAGGTATGACTTGCCTAAGGCCGCCCTGTGAGTAGGGAGAGAAGCATGTACCCCTGTGCTGTGGCTCCCGTAGAGCTGCCCTGGGAGGGAGGTGACTCCTCGGAGGGATGCAGGCTGGGCCCGGAGTTTCTCTGCTTCAGGAACCCTGGTCTCTGTCCCTGCTGCTTTCCTGGACACACATCCAACTTGAAGCCTGGGGCCTTTGCTCAGTCCCAGCCATCCAGGCGTTGAGTGTGTTTAGTTGGGCCCCACCTGTGTGAGCAGAGATTCCTGGCTGCTCCTGGGAGTGGGGGCCCCATTTGGCTTAGCCAAGGCCCTGAAGGCCAGGCCCTTAGGCACAGCAGAGAGCCCAGGTGGGGTTGTGCCTTCAGTGGTGAGCAGCCCCTCCTGGCTCTGGACTCAGGGTGGGGCTGGGGGCTTGGTCAGTGAATGCTCCTGGCAACAAAGCCGGCAGCCCACTGCCCCAAACAAACCAGTGCCTCCGTGTGTATGGTTCTCAAGAGTGTCCTCCCCTAGCACAGGGCCTGCCCCTGACTGGCTGCTTGGCCCCATCTTGGTCCCTCTTGCAGCTCAACTGGGTGACAAGGCACTGCATCAGCGTGCCAGCACCAGGAGGAGGCTTCTGGCAGAAAGATCCTGGTGCATTCCCCAGCCTTGATAGGCAGAGCTGGCTCTGAGCCAGGTGGGCACAAGGTCAGGGCACTTCAAGGAGGGGAGATCAGTGGGGAGTTGTCAAGAACAGTCTGAGTTGGAGGGTCCTTGCATGGGAAAACAGACACAACCCTCCCTCGTGTGACTGGGGAGTATCTCCGGGCATGTTTAAAAAATCAGGTAGGCAGAGGCAGAGCTGCCTTGGAGTGGGGAGCTGTGGACTTCACCTGCAGGCTTTGCCATGCCCTGCCCAGGTCACACGGTGACAGAATGGGTGTCTACTGGCCTGGATGCCAACCAGTACCACTCCATGCCCCAGGCAAGCGGTGGCCCCTGGCCTTCACCCCCAGCCTACACACTGGTAATGGTGAGGGGACATGCCTTTCTGCACCTTGGCTTCCTGTCCCTTCATCCAGGGCCCTGGGTCACTTTTGAGGATGGGGCTGGGAGGACAGAGCTGCAGCCCCACCCAGAGGCAGGCAGACAGTTCCTGAGCTCAGCCAGGGAAAGATTGGTCCCAAAGCAGAGAGGTGTCCAGAAGGGAAATGGGATCAGGCAGAAAGGAGGGCATGTGTTGGTTTTGACAGAAGAGAAGCTATAAATCGATCATTTGGAAAACCTGAAGCTCCCTGACCCCTTTATGTCATGAGTTCCCCTTCTTCCTATAAAAAAGTGATGCTCTCTCCTCAGATTCCCTTTGCCCACTTTGAAGTCTCTCAGGGGAGACTCAGGGGCCCTGATTGGCTGGGAGAGAGGAGCCTGAGCAGTGTTCTCCCTCACGGTCTGCAGACCTTCTAAAGTGAAGGGTTTTCTTAACTTTTTCTGTTTTTCTTTTTAAAATAATCGCCCTTGAATGCAAGACCCTGGGAAGAGCCCGGGCTTGCTGGTAACTGGACACGGCCCTCATGGTCCCTGCTCATTAGCCGTCCGGCCTGGAGGCGGGAGCTGGCGGCCCTATGCCCAGGAATGCTTCTTTGGCTGGTTCTGATTGTGTTTGGAGTTTGGCCTTGGGTGAGGCCCGAGTGAGGGGTCTGTGTGGCTACGGTGTGGCACATGACATGCGGGCAGCGTGCATGCGAGGGTGCAGGCATGCGAGACAACATGGCAGCAGACAAAAATAATGAACCCTGGACGAAGCTTGAGAAGAGATACAAAGAGTACAGAAACCCGGTTCTCATACTAACCCCCGGGTTACAAACTAGGTTGTGCTGTAGATTTGTAGAAAATCACGTTTTGAAAGAATGGCACTGTTGGGCAGCTGTGGCTCCCAAGACCAGCCTGACCCTTCTGTCCACAGTGAGTGCCCAGAGGTGCAGGGCAGCGCTGGTTCCAGCTCACCTGGGACTAACCAAGTCTCCCCCCAGGTCTCTGCCCTCCTCCCCCAGCACCGCTGGTGCTCGCTGGAGGGGACATGGCCAGAGGTGCTGCGGCTCAAAGGGTTGGCAGAGGCCCCACTGCTCTGAATGACGTGGCTGGTCTATGCCTCCTCCTCCCCTGCAGACACCATTAGCCGCATGGCCACTGGGAGATGGTCGGTCAGGCCAGACAGCTGGGTGATAAAACTGAATTCTTCTACCTCCTGTTGGGAAGAAGCATTCCTATTAGATCCAGAGGGCATCCTACACAGGAGGGGCCTGGAGGGCAGGGGTGGGGCTTCTGGGCAGAGGCGGGGGCTGGGTCTAGCCAGGATCTTCCCGGAGGCAGAGGAATGGGAGCATCCCATGGGCCCCAAGGACTCTGAGACTGAGAGATCTCGTTTTCAGAGAAGAGCTCAGTGCTGGTGAGGGGTACAGGGCACGGGATCCCCTATCTATAGGCATTGCCTGGCCCACTCGACTCACAGCCTTCCAGTCCGGGCACAGCCCCTCCTCTGCGTACAGCATGTAGTCGATGCGTCTGCCGTTGCCCTTCAGCAGGTCCTTGCGTCCCTTCTGGCCTGCCCCGGGGCTCTTGCTGGTGGGGAAAGCCAGGTACTCCCTGCGGCCTTCCTCGGTCTCCAAGACCCTGCTCGACAGGAAGGACAGGAAGCAAGGTGAGCCCCTGCCCCATTCTCCAGACCCCAGATCCTGAGTGTGGAATCATGTTCTAGTCCCTAAGTGGGAGAGATGCAGGCCCTGTGTTTAAGATCTATTTTCCCTGGGGACCCAAAAAAAGGGGACTAGGGTGGAGGGAAACCCAATCTGACCCTGTGAGTTCCTGACTGAGCCATGCCACTCCAGAGTCTGTCCATGTCCACCTTGGGCTTGGCTGTGGCTGAAGTTTGGACATAGTACTGCCCAGAGCCTGGGGTGCCGAGTTGGGAACAGAAGTGCTCACCCCTCTCTGCACACAGGGCTTTGCTTAGAGCCAGTGGTGGGGGGTGGGGGTGGGGTGGGAAAGGGTCTTTGCAGTGAACCTCAGGGACCCTTCTCTCCTATAGGTCCTCAGAACCACCCACCCCACCCTCCGTGACCGTTGTTTCAAGTCAGCAGGGGTGAGGGAGCCAGGAGAGCACCCAGGCCCTATCCTGGGCCTGGACTCTTGTGTTGGTTTCTCTCTGAGCAGCTGTGCCACCAAACCCCTGAGCTTTCCTCTGACACAAGGATGATTGATTGCTGTGGGCCCCAAGACATTTGGGGGACCAGGAATGCTAAGAAAGGAACAATTTGGGGGGCACCTGTCTGGCTCAGTAGGAAAAGCATGTGACTCTTGAAGTCATAAGCTTGAGCCCCACGTTGGGTGTAGAAATTACTTTAAAAAAAAATGTGGGATGTGGTTGCCATACCATTTCTTACAGGAAGAAAACTGATGTGGGTACTTAAATGTGGGTCAGGGTTCTCTACAGGATGTGCAAGGGACTCAGGTTGGGTGTTAACACCCTGAATCCAGGCCTTTTGACTTCCTATCTGCCGTCCCCTTCCTGCCAGGTTTCCTTTGGAGCCTGAGCACTGGTTGGGGACAGCCTTCACGGGAGACTTGCAGAGGCCAATGGACACTGAACAAATGGAAGGGGTGCCTGGACAGGCACAGCCAGCAAACGTGGGTTTCTACAAGGCCTTTATCAGCCCTGAGATAAATACACTAATGACATGCAGAGCATCACTACATCTCAGAAATATAATCCATTACCGTCCTTGGCCTTTGGTAATTAATTCCAGCATCAATGATCTAAGAGTTACTGATAGTCATTTTTTAATCATCATCTCATAAAAAGATAATTTTCTCGGCATAGGATGATGTTTCAAATTTAGTCTATAATCTAATTAATTGGCTTAAATTAGCTGTGAGGAGCCATTGCCATGGCTTTGTGCAGTCTTGGGCTATGAGTTACAAATTGGTTCTGCTGCTGGCCTCTCAGATGGGCCCTGTATGGAATTCTCATCAGGTTCAAGTATGAAGCTTGGCTGCAGTGGAACTGTTTCTGCTTTGAAAATGACTACCTAGTGTTAGCTCTGCTCGCGTTTTTATTTGCCTGATTGGTGGCTACCAGCTGCCGGGCTCCCTGCAATGGACGCCACTCCATGGCTCTTCTGCAGGGGTCTCAGCAGCCCTTGGCCTCACCCTGAGAGATTCTGTCCCTCTCCCTGTGCCCAGAAGGGCCTCGAAGCAGGCTATGGCTCAGGGCTGGCCAAGCTCTTGTAAAATGAGCCCGGAATCTGGTGCTGATGTAGGAAGTGCCACCTCTAGAGCCTCCTCCTGGTTGGAGGCTTCTCCTCAGTCAGGCCAGTCCCTGGGGCATGACGGTGGCCTGGTCTCTGCCCAACCCCAGCTTTGGTCCTTGAGGCTTTCACAGGCTTCCTTCCCATGGAACTGCATTCTCTAGTCTACCCTGCACAGCCCATCTCTCCACACCAGAGTCAGTGCTCAGTGTTCATCCCAGCCCTGGGATCCATCCACCCCTGCACAACTGCAGTGGCATGGGTGCTGGCTGTTTACTTTTGCAGGTTGTCAGGGGTGCACACGTCCTCATCGTAGAGGTTATCTGTGTCCAGCATGGTACCTAGGAACAAGGAGGCAAGAGTGGTCACTGTGAACAGGGCCCAGCCAGCCTCTAGGAGGGCTGCCTCTGGGGGGCAGGAGGCATGGGTGAGGGCTTCTACCCCTGCCCCTTGCAGAGTGGTCTTGGGGATAGGTCCTGAAATGTCTCTGGGAAGCCTGTGGGGAGCCCAGCCTTGGTTCAGTGTTAGGTCTCAGCAGGGTGGGCTCAGGCCTTGCAGTGCCCCTCCGCCATTCCCCCTCAGGGCCCCCAACCCTGTGCCCAGCCCCAGCTCACCGATGGCCCAGGACTTCTCCTCTCCAGGCCCCAGGCGGCAGGGGTCCTTGTAGTGTGTAAACAGGGAGTGCTGCTGCTCCAGCTTGTCATCTGTGCATGAGGGGAGAAAGGGAATGCTGTGAGGCTCAGGGTGTCTGTCCTGGAGGGCTGCCTGCCTTGGGTTCTAGTCAGTAACTCAGGTAACTGCCTCTGGGTGGGGTCTCCTTTGTCACTGGTTTTCTGTGTCCTTGAGAATGCCCCCCCCCCCACCCCCAGCGGGGGTGGGAGTGAGCTATCCTTCTGAGGACAGTGGTCATGGTCCCTCTTGGGCTCCAGGGGACAGTGATCTTGAGGTCTTCCCAGATCTGGTGGCAAAACCTGTGGGGGCTCGCTCATGCTGTCCTGGAAGGGACCCCTGCCCTTCAGACTTGGGTGACCAGGTTGAATCAAGAGTGACCATATAGGACTTAGGAGAGGGAGGTGATCTGCCCTGAATTCCAGTTTGTCTTGCCAACTCATGGAGCCAGAGGGCCTTTCTGAGACCCCTTGGGAGGAAGGACAGGCACCAGTGGGGCCTGACTGGGTGAGACCCTCTCTGACAGCCTCTTCCTGTGTGTACCACATCCCCACCCTGACTCAGGAGGATCCCAGGAGCACCTAGCATTTGGAGCTGGTATCAGGAATGTGTTTTTGAGGGGACCACAGGGCTACCATCGAGGGGCTGTATGTTCCACAGTAGGCACTGGTCTCCCCACCCACCCTAGAGTTGCCACCAAGTGAGGGCACCACCCTGTGCTCCAGGTAGGACCTTTAGGTCTCCAGCCTTCACTGAGGGCTAAGCCTCAGCTCACAGACCCCATGTCACTCACTCATCTGTAGTTGGGCTGGGGCTGGCGTGGAAGGAGCCCAGGAGCCAGTGGCGGGCGGGGGGCGGGGAGTGGCGGTTCCTCACATCAGCTCCTTGGGCAAAGGGAAGCTCAGAGCGGCATAAACTCCCAGGAGTAAACTGAGATCAGCGTGATCACCAGATCAGTTATTTAAGTCAATTATTTAAAAGTTTACCCATGATGAATTTTTAGTCTTTTAGCCTAAGGGGTAAAGATATAATTGCCAGGGTTCAAATCCCAGTTCAACCACTTCCTGGCTGTGTGACCTGGGACTAGTTACTCAGCCTATCTGGGTCTCAGCTTCCTCTTCCACACCCTGTAGATTAATACTGTGCTCACTCTTTGGGTCATTATGAGATTTAAATGAAACAGCCGGCCCACAAACAGCTGTTAGAATTGTGCCTGGTGCAAAGCAGGAGATGAGTAATGACTTGGTGGGTAGTGTTAGCTAGCTTGCCCACAGTCTGAGTTTCAGAGGCCCCAAGCTTCTCCATCAGAAGTTCATTTTTAGGGCATCTCTTTGTCTCCAGCAAGGAGGCCTCTCAGCTTTCTAGGCAGAGCGTGGGCTCTTCTCATTTTAGGATTTTTAGGGGCCACAGAAATCAGAGTCTTGCTAATATCCCACCCACATGCTCACAAGCAGCAGGAAGTTCTTCAAGCTGTGGAGCCCAATCCTTTCCAGTGTGACTGGAGCCCATGCCTTCCCCAGTAGTCCACCCAACTGGGGAGGACCACCACCTCACCAGAGGAGCAGTTGTCAAAGTTAAAATCTCCACAGACGACATCAAACGCCACCAGCTCCTCGGGGTTGGCTGTGCTGGACGAGGAGGTAGATTTTCGGAAATCAGCCAGCCAGTCCTGAAGCAGGTCCAGCTGCTCACAACGGATGGCACTGTCCTCTGTGGGGCAGAGCCATAGAGAACAGATGGCAGAGCTGCAGTTAGACCCCAGCCACGCCCCGGCACCAATCCCAGCCCGCGGCGGGCAGATTGCCCCCCCCCGCCCCGCCCTGGAAATCAGGGGCTGCCAGACCCTACCTGGCAGGGCATGCAGGTGTGTGCAGGAGATGTACCCGACGATTCTTTGGTCCTGAGGTGTGCTTCCCACCTGCACCTGTTGGGGAGGAGGCGAGGTGTTGATGATGAAGCCTACGAGTCATTACTGCTCTAAGTATGAGCCCATCTCTGTCAGCTCCTGCTAGACCTGGGCCCAGATAGGAACAGCACATGTCATGCTTATAGGAACTTCTGGTCCAGGGTGGGAGGCAGATGTTTAAAGAAATACCAGCCTGTGGCATGATGAGTGCCACTAGCAATTCATGCAAGGCTTTACAGGAAGAAAAATGCAGAAATCACTGCTGATTTCCTCCCTAAACCCCCACCATCTCCTGGTGACCAGAGTGTCCACATGGATGACCCTCATGTGCCAGCCCCTCCTGTCTGGTGGCTCTTTCCCCTGATTCCACTGCCCTGGAGCCCATCCCTCCAAAATCCAAGCTGGTCTCCCCTCTGGGATGCAGCCTAGCAGGCACAGCCTCCCACCCATCCCTTCAATGTGAGTGGACCCTGCCCTCCACTCTCCCCAGTCTCTCTCTGCCCCTGTGACTTCATGAGAAGCCACTTTATCTGCTTTTTGGCAGTGGTTTCTGTTGGTCCCCTGATCTGGGATGACAAGTGTGGGCTATGTCTCTATGACACCTGTGACATGGGCTTGCCCCAGGTGTCCCATAGCCTCTATCCAGAGCCCAGCCCTCCTTCCTCCACAGCAGCCTCTCCAGGCCTTCATGCTGCACTCTCCCCAGACCTAGTCCTTGCCTCCTGCTCACCTCCTTCACTGAAGATAGAGTCCCCAGGGGGTGAAGTGGGGCCAGGGGCTCCTCCGTGACTCCCTGCCCAAGTGCAGATGTCCCTGGTGGGCTTTCTCTACAGGCTGGCATAATGACATCATAGACAACCTGAAACAGCCCCCAGTGGTGACACTGATACAAGCCTGAGCCCTTGTCAGGGCTGTGGCTGTGGAGGTAAGGAAGGGGTGGCTGCCCAGCCAGCTGCTCTCCCAGGCCCTCTGTCCATGGCAAGTGGCAGGAGGCTGCAATAGGAGATTACCCCTTCCCCCTCCAGGCATGCTCCCTTGGGTAATCTGTGGGTGCCTTTCCCCAGAGGCCTCTGGTTGGTTCCTCCTCTTTCTTTCTGGGCTCTCCTCCCACCTAGGCCTCAGCAGTATTTCCCAAACTTCTTTAATCCATTCCAGAATTGGTTTTGTATGAAGAAGAGATCCTGGACCCTGGGAACTCTCCAGGGAAGGTGACCGTAGAGGCCTGTTCTTGGCTACGAGGCAGACATCTGCCTGAACATGACCTTGCCCATCCTCCAGCTAAGAGAGGCTTGGACTCACGGCTGCAACCACCGCCACATCACAGGCCCTTCACTCAGAGAGCCTGGGCAGGCTTCCATCTTTCTTTTCGCTGCCAAAGTCAGGTTGGCATTATTCTCCTCCATATGGGTTTTCACATCATTAAGCATCCTTAGCTTCCTACAGCTCTTCATCTCCTTTCCCAGCCTGGATGGATGCACATCTCTCCTTTCCCAGCTCTTGGGGGGGATGAACATCTGGTTACTTGATAATGGGCTGTACAGCCTGAATTTGGGGCTGTTTATAAACTCCTATGTCCACCATTCACTTCTTGCCCACATTCCAGACCTAAACCTCAGCCTTTAGTACCACCACCCTGGAATGTCTTGGGAAATCACATACCACTGATGCACTGTGTTGCAAAAACACAACACAGTTTTAAAGCCACAGTGCCTCCAAAGGCCACACGATGGCGCTCTTGCCCCCTGTGTTTCCCAGGCAGTGAAGGTTCCCCCTCAATAATAATAATAATAATAATAATAATATGCTGTGAGCACTAGTGGTTAGTGCTTCCTGGACACTGCCCCCCTAGGGCCTTACAACAATTAAGAAGGTTAAAGTAAAATTATACCAGAATTGGCTTGGAGGTCACGAGGCTCAGATGGGGGAGGCAAGTTCTAGTCAGATGTTTGCTGCCCTGCGCCCAGCTCTTCACCCTACTCTCTGCTGCTTTCTCAACTCCTGGTGACTTGGCAGGCTTTTCACCCATTTGATGGTCTTAGTGTGCCAACCCGTCACTCACTCTGCACTTGGTGTCACTTGCCTGTGCTGAGACGTGGGGCAGGGACCGGGGAGGCCCTCCCCTGAGGAGACTGGCCCCCGAGGGAGGGAAGACACAGCAGCGAGGCTATGGCTGCCCCTCCCTCAGCCCCTTCCAGCCCCTCCCGCTCTCCATCAGCCCGTGAGCTGCCAATAGCCACTTTACTACGTGCTTGGATTGATTGATTCCAGTGTGAGTCCTCAGGAGTTGCAGAGGCTTGTGTTTCTCTTGCAAAAACAAATAATCACACCAAGAGATTGTGTCTTTTAGTCCTGGTGGGCAAAGACTCAATAGAGAAGGTGCCCAGAATCAGGCTCTCCCGCAAGGGGGGCAACAGCGATTCTAGTCCCTTTTCAGGGTGTGACAGCAGCAGGAAAGCACACTTTCCTCAGGCATAGCTGTGCCACAGAGTAAATGGGGGGGGGGGGGGGGGG